CTCGTGGTGGCTTGCGTGTACATCATTGTTTGCCCCTGGAACCATCGGAAGCGTCCGCGCCGGCATCACCTATTCCGCTCAACGTCCCAGCTTCTCTCTTGTGTGTGACATGCAATCGGCAGTTCAAGTCAGTGCCTGGTTTCAGACGTCACAAGTGCGACCGTGGCCATCGAGCAACCAAGTCTGATAGAGCGTCGTATGGTGTTCGCTGTTCTCGCTGCAGCCGTCAGTTCCGTCGACAGAGTGACCTGAGTCGTCATCTCCGTTTCTGCTCCTGACAATGACTCTGGCTCCTTTCGGAGTGGTGTGGCCCTTGTGGCAACCAAGCTACAGTAGTAGTAGTAGTGTGTGTGTGTGTGTGTGTGTGTGTGTGTGTGTGTGTGTGTGTGTGTGTGTGTGTGTGTGTGTGTGTGTGTGTGTGTATGTATGTGTGTATGGACGCATCAGACTTTGACCTTTTTCTAGACTCATACTCGTAGATCTGCCATGCATCTGCAGTCGTACTGAGTACTGTACTCGACTCGACTGCACACTGCGCCAGAAGTGTGCCAGAAGTTCCCAGAACGCAGGATTTTGTGTCTTTTTTACAAAATTTTCCCGGGGGAGGTCCCCCAGACCCCCTCCACCACGGCCTTCAGCCGCGCCGATCTTCCGTCGTACCACTTCCAAACCCCCTCCTACGCCCCTGGTTTGAATGCAGAAGTCTCTTCCATGTTGTGACTTCTGCAGTCCATGCCAAGCTCGGTGATCTGTTGCATGACTGGCTTATTCAGTGTTGGCAACATCACCCCCAGCGTGTGCCTGATCACCCCCAGCGTGTGCCTGATCACGGACATGCAACAACAGTCACTACTAATAGTGTGAAAGACTTTGACGTGGTAAGGGAGACTACATATTGCATGCATGGTAGCTATGATGGGGGGGGGGGGGGGTTGCAGGTAGTGCATGGTACTGTACATAAATAAAGCTGTGTGGACCCTGGCTAGCGCCAGAGTTACTGGCTGCGTTCGATTATGCACTTGAATCGATTCATGAATGGAATCTCGCGGTTCGATTTCATGTCATGAGCTCTGGAATCGATTTGGAATCCATTCGCCCTATTCACATGGGGCGATGTGAATAGCGGGGGAATTGATCCATTCATGAATCGATGGGGGGGGGGGGGGGGCATAATTGAACTCACTCACTGAAGTAGCGACTTTTGCATAGCTACATGAATAATGATTTACTGCCAGTGTTCAGTATATAATTGTAAGGGGTAATCCGGCCGACCTCGACACGACGCTGCCACAGCACACCACCAGCAAGCGACACATCCATTGGTTTACTCAATTCCTTCATACAGCTATTTCGAGTATAACACTCTTGTCAGTGAACTTGGTAAACATTGTAGAATGGCTGAGACGTGAAAATCACCCTTTTGTACCGAAGGGGTGGGCATAATGTGCGCACCTGTGGCACGGAGAATAGGGCTAAGCAAAAGAACCATGTGCAAAGCACTCTGTGAAAACTAAACTGGGGATGCTGTACAGACTACAGACGTGATCATGAGTTGACAGTGCTAATAACCAGGTTTGAATTCGATAGACAGCACAGCATAGCAAGTAGCAACGCGATAGGCCCCTGGGTCGTGCACTCCATCCACCCCCCAGCTTTATGAAGGAATTGAGTACCAACGGATGTGTCGCCTGCTAATGGTGTGCTGTGGCAGAGTGTCGAGCGATCGCGAGGTCGGCTGGAGAGTGCAGCTGTGGTGTGGTGGTTGACGAAAAAGATCAGCGTATAGGTTATTCAAATGACTTAGTCACACATAGCATTATCAATCATGACACCCTTTGCTAGTCAACAATCATTCCATTCCATTCATTGCATAGTGTTTTCTTCACATAGTCGCACACATGTAAGAAGGCATAGTTGCCTGTTTGTGATGCGAAATAAAGTACAACAACACACGCATAATTATGCTTTTATGTTGAGTGGCAAGCCTGTGCTCACTTGTAAGGTGTGACAAACCCAGAGCTTGCCAAAGTTTTACCATTCCATGCAGGTCATAAAATTATGACTAAATCGCACAATCTCTATAGCATATCACGTTTTGCTGGGCACTTGTTTGAAGTGAACCTTCACTGCATTACAATGTAGTGCCTAGGTCCTAAGTAACTACAGTCTATTTCAAACCGATGGGAATCTGCTTATTGGTGGGTTTAAAAAACAATTGACTAGGAATGAACCTGATCATGAACCGTGACTGACTTCTCAGCACCCTGATGCAATCACTGTGGCTGTGCGTTATAACGTATAAGACAGAAGACCGTACAGTGCACATTGTGTTTACCCACTGTGACCGCAATCAGTTGTCCGCATACCAAAACCTAGTTACAAGCACTTTGGTACACCAGTCTGCACTCTTTCAGTCTCTTTGGGTGAGTTTTCATGGGTATGTTTTTGCTACTTGTATCCATGTTCTGCTAATAGAAGAAATGGTGACGCCAAATGCAATTCAATTGGTCGTCCCCATCAAATAAGGTGACTTGCATCGCCGTCTGATGCTGAGAGGTGTGGCTGATAAAGACGATTCAATTGTACCCGTACCTGCCAGTAGGGAATGCAGACACTTAGCCACCATCCTAAGTTACACACTGAGGTGTAGTTGAAAAAATCTGGCTTCAACTGTGCCCACAGCCAGATGCTTTTACTACTTCAAGTACATACCACCATGCAATGAATGGGTCTGCATTTGTGAAGTGTGTTTGTGCTTGACTATACAGGTTTCCTTGTGGGCAAACCCTGTAGTGATAAGATTCTAAAAGCACAGGTCGTATTTCCTTGAACAAAAGATGCGTTCTTTAAAAAAAATTATGAGCGGCACATGTCCCCATAAGCACTGCTAAAATATGAACAAAAACAAGCACCACATTTTCATCTCGGTAGCCAGCCATGGCAGTAAACAAAAACAAAGCAAAAAAACTAAATATTACACATTACTGGAGGCAAAGAGAAACAAACCTCGATAAAGAATTAGCAGTTATTAGAACACGAGCCTCATGTTGGCCTTGAAATCATTTAGCGTACAAGACGATTTTTACCGATAGAGCATTGAGGTAGAACAGAATGGCCAATGTGATGTTCTTTGGCAGAAAACTACTTCATGGACTGCATGGTAGGTAAACCGGTCCATGTTTCGGAGGAGGGCCAAACGCCAGCTACGAGCATGAGAATTCATGTGCACTTCTCTGGTTGTTTCCGATCCAGGATCGCAGCCAGAACCAGGGAGTATTACAATACAATGTTATTACTTCCTGGTCAGAACAAGCATGCTCCAAGTGCATGCACTGGTGCAAAAACAGTACAAATCGAACAGTGCACGGTGTCCATTCCAGAGCTGTTTTGCACCGGCATCTAATCATACACCCCCAAAGGTAGTGTGAACTGTGGAGTCTTGCTATGCTCACTTTTTCCAGACTTTCTTGTTACAATCTAACACGTGAAGAATTCATTCAGCAGGATTGGCCGTAGTTGGTTAGGTAAGCCCAGTTAGAGAGTTACCGGTATGTTAGTGCACGTATCTCTGTATTGTATGGTGTGTATTGCTAGCTTGTAGGTACTGTATAGCAGGAAATTTTCGGACGGAAATATTTTCGGACAGAGCCGAATTTCGACATTTCGTATGGATTTTATTTTCGTACAGTGGTGCATGCATGCTAAATGCACTTGTTTGCTTGCGGTACGCATGTATAGTGTACATAATTATAACTTCACAGGAACAAATTTTAGTACGGAATTAATTAAATTTTAGTACAAAAGAGGGCGTGTACGAAATCGTACGAAAATAAATTCCGTCCGAAAATTTCCTGCTATACAGTATTGTGGCAATGCACAGTTTGAGTGGCTGGTTCAAATCCACTGGTCGGTGTACTAGGAAAGAGAAAAAAAGGGATGGAAACTGGAAAGGTATGTTATAGTGGGTAGTGGGCAAACAGGGATAAGACGAACCAAGAGTGGAGGGTGAAACTCTGGGGGAATTGTCTCATGGTGAAGTTATTTTTTGGTACATGTATGTGTAGTGGGTCATCATTGTATCTCGCACCAGTTCACATGGCCGCTTCAACGTACCGTTAAAGGGGAAGTTAAGGCAAAAATCAAAATTTCACCAGTTGTAGTCTTCGGGGTGCTGAGTCGAATGGTCTTGGTCCGAGAAAGCTGAGACGCTCCCTTCCTACTTGAATCCCAATCGAACTCACGCACTTCCACCGAAACTGGGTGACTGCGCCCTACTAGATGGGGATTTGTATGCAAAATGTCACTAAAAGCACCATTTCGTTCTTATAAAAGCACGGATGACCGCGACTGGCCCATATGTTGTAGTCTTTTGGACGCTGAGTCGGCTGGTTTTGGTCCGAAAAGGCTGCGATGCAGCGTTCCTCCTTTATTCCCAATCGAACATGGTTGAACAAGCGGTCAGTGCTCCTGCGTACACCAGTCACCTGGTCACCGTGCCTGCAGGGTACAACTTACTAGCCTGTTTGACCTTTTTTGGGTGCAGTCCTGTCACTCGAGTTGAACCTTGGTGTGAAAGTTGTCGCCTGCTGGCGTGGTGACCAGGTGATTTGGGCACCCAGGAGCACGGGACCGCTTGTTCAACCACGTTCGATTGAGAATAAGGGCCGAACGCTGCATCACAGCCTTTTAGGACCAAAACCAATCGACTCGGCGTCCAAAAGACTACAACATATGGGCCAATTGCGGTCATCCGTGCTTTTATAAGAACGAAATGGCGCTTTTAGTGACATTTTGCATACAAATCCCCATCTAGTAGGGCGCAGTCACCCAGTTTCGATTGGGATTCAAGTAGGATCACAGCTTTCTCGGACCAAGACCATTCGACTCAGCACCCCGAAGACTACACAATTGGTGAAATTTTGTGAGGTGAAAAACGCCGTTACTCGTGGTGGTACAGATGCAGTTCGAGAAACATTTCCCACCTTGCTTTCCTCCTGACGTCATGGAGAGACCAAATTTTGGAATAAAAACTTTTCCGGTGAAATGAAAATCTGAATAAACTTATGCTATATATGGGCATGAGAGCTGTCAACAAAGAAATAATTAAAAAATATAAGGCCAGAACATCCCCCCCTGGACAGGGGCAGGATGGACAGGACAAGAATGTCTGGGTACCACGAGCAGTTCGAGGCAGTATGTACAACATACCAGTAGCAAAAGTGAGCAAAAAAACACGAGTATGTACACAATAGACTGCTATTTAGGGGGCAGGGAATTATACAACGGTGGAGCAGGTTGGAAGATCAGAGGATCGAAGCTGGACCCTCCTGGTACATGTTTCTTGTATCATTTCAATGAGGGGATGGTGATAACATGAATAGATGGGGGGGGGGGCTTGGGTAGCTATATTACAGAGCAATGAAAGTGGAAAACAAACTTCGGTGCATTGGCCAGCAATTTACACGCAATATCAATACAGTTGGGTGAAAAGGAAAATGGCAAACTTACCCCTCCTGTGTGCTACAAATAGACCAAAACTCAATTACCACCAGAAACAGCAACAACAGAGGCAAGCAGCAGCAGAGGTGGTGGTGGCAATTTCCTCTAGTGCTTGTATGCTGCCAGCTTGCCAGCAGCAAACATGAGCGGCCGTGTCGGCAGTGGAATGTCGTGATCAGCAACAACAGTGGTGCTGCTGCTGCTGCTTGGCAGGGTGGTGTCATTGTGAATGTCCTGACCAACTGGTAAGTCCTACACAACACATGGACAAAATGAAAAAGCAGCAGCAGCAATAATTATCAGCACTGACAGCAGTCAAACAAACAAGCCATATTGGAAGTCATGCATAGTAACGCAGTGTCCCACTTCACGACGGGCTGGCAAATCCAACGTGGAAGTGTGTTTATTGACAGTACAGGCACCGACCTCAAACTAACTGTACTGTAGTAACCTGGTGACGTTGAAGGCTAGGGGAGGTTTCACGCAACTGCATCATTGTAATGTCAGTTGACAACCTCCATTTTTTCTTAAATTTCACAATTGCTACAGTCAGTTGCTGCTCACTCAATGCACTAGTTAGTGTAGCCGGATGGCGGAAGTAAATTACTAGCTGGCTCTGCAACTACAATGGTCCCTATCTAATCCAGCACAATTCATGTGAATAAAAGGGGGTTTGTCAACCTTTTTTATTTTTTTATTTACAATGCAGTTGTGTGATGTCCACCACTTCCTGAATGGACAATTCATGTGACATAATTATATCACTTCCTGAATGGACAATTCATGTGACATAATTATATTGTGCAGGATTAACAAATCTGGTGTTGTATTGTTGTAGTGTACATGAATGGGATATTTCACTTGTACTAGTTTGTTAGGGTGCTGGCCTAACTCACAATGACTACACTGCCTCTCAAAGCCTCCCTACCTCTCCAGTATCGCTCCTGAGCAGTGAGTACGCAAAATCTAACATTCCAGAAGTGAGACCGCAGCAGATCTACAATGACCTACTGAACAACGTACTAAGACTTTTGACCACAGTAGATCACTACCTAGTACTTACCTGATTCAGTCCAATGAAATGAAGAAGGCTGAGTGAAAGACGCCTGCTGGACTTCAGAAGCTCCTCCAAGCTGAGCAGTCAAGCAATACAAAGAGGCAAGGCAGCCGCAATCTCGTCAAATCTAGTGATACAATCGAAAATCAATGTCCTCTGTCTCCTCGCTGGAAAGATACCGCCGTGCTGCTCAATGAAATCCCAATGCTGTAAGCCAGCCAGCGACAGTCGCTAAGCAGCCCCATACCCACAAACACAGGTATACATTGCAGGGCTGTAGGGTGCCAACTTATTCAGGAGTCCAAACTTTACTGTACAAAAACTACACTGCGCTACACACCACACTGCACCACATTGCACCACACTGCAGCACTCACCTCTGATCAGCGCATAGCTGATGAGTTACCATCTGCCAAAACACACCAAAAAATGCACAGAGAACACAATGGAATGAATCCCTTGCGGAAGAAGAAAAGCAGAATGCTTTCTGTACTAAGAGGAAGCACACAGTGATGCTGTCAGCACATGAGAACAAATAAGTCATACATTGCAGTCGCGTGTATCGAACATGTGTGGGGAAAGAACTGGGATGTGAAATAATTCTTGGCATCAATCCTAGAAATTTCTCCACACAAAACCGCCCAGAATTCTCTTCTGATAAACACAGTTTGATTGGCGGAAATTTCAAGTACTTGTAGTAGCTTTCAAGATACATGTAGTTCCTGTGTGGTAATCCTTACCCTTTCCAAGATTTGTTTGTTCAAGGTGTCGTCAAAGAGCGGAACACCAAAACATAGGTCGAGTGGCACCCAGTCTGCCTCCTTGTCTGCTGGTGGTGCAGGTGGTGCAGGTGAAGCGGCTGACACAGCCGCAGGACTAGGGGCGGCGCCGCCATCGCCGGTATGGCCACCAGAATCAGTTGTATCCATGGAGAGCAGATCATCAACACTGATCGACTTTTCAACTAGGCTACTGTCTCCACTACCAAAACCCTGACTCTGAGCGGAGATGGTGCGTGGCTGCGAAATAAACTGTTGCCGTGACATCATGGATATTTGAATGTTGCTATGGCTACTGCTGGTCTTGACACCTTCAGCTGCGCCACACCTATTGCGGCCAGTGTGTAGGATGGTGATGAAGCCACAGCTATGCTGCAGATCTATGGACTTGGCAGCAAGGCGCACAGCCGGGTGACACCATGGTGTAGCGCGGCTGAAAGCTACATGAGCACATGAACACACAAAGCAAAGAGAGCATGCAATATTACTAGTACATGATTGTACATGTTGTACTATGTTTTCTATCACCATGGGAACATGTACTATGCTCACACCGAGGACAATACTGCTGCCTGTCGAATATTTGAAAAGAAATTTCTCCGCAAAATGTGAACTGCTGAATCTAGCCATAATGTCACATTGCACATATCCAGACGCTCTCTCTCTCTCTCTCTCTCTCTCTCTCTCTCTCTCTCTCTCTCTCTCTCTCTCTCTCTCTCTCTCTCTCTCATCGAACCGATCCGGGATAGTGATAAGGGAGGGGGGAGGGGGGAGTGGATAGTAGGGAGGTTTCGCTCTACGTAATTACGTATGAAAATCCGTATGTCGTACGCGCCGGGGAGCGCAACTTTCATACGTAAATCTCTCTACGGATTTCCGTAGGAAAGCTCTTTCCTACGTTGGGTCCTCCGTAGGACTTTTTGAAATATTTTTTCCGCATTGTCCGCATTTGTCCATGGCAACATTCAAGCCGCGCGAAACACAAGGTACACACACCGTACACCACGTGCAAAATATCGTGGAAAACGCGGTTTCAGTTCATGGTGCATGCATGCAGTAGGCGCATGCAGCCAACGCGTCTCCAAAGCAACAACGCATATTGAGCAGTTGTGGAGAAATCACGTAGAGCGAAACCCAACAGCTCTGATTTTTACGTATGAAATTTCCGTGCAGTTCATACGTAATTCCGTAGAGCGAAACCTCCCTAGTATTATTATGCCCTTACGTTGAGTATCGGATAACTCCTTCTCGCCAAGCGGAAATGGCACATGGATAACATCACCTTCTTGCTGAGAGCCATATCCCTACATAGCAGAACAAGCCATGGGAAGGAAATATAATATCTCATCATGTCATAAGTACACCAATCCTAAATGCAAGGAGATGGTTCGCGATAAAACCTCTATTTCACAGCTACATGGATCATAAGGAGGCAGTTTGTGATACAAGCTTGTACTTTCAAAGCTGGAGAAGCCCGCTGTCATCAAGCATCAATGGCCTATACGATACACAAACAATGTATCAGATCATTGTCTGATGATCGCCTGTGTGCGCGTGACACGTTAAGAGTCATAACACGTTTTCCCTGCTCTTCTTGTTGCCTATACTATACATGTACACTCAACTTTGCGTATAACGACACTCTGCGGGGCATCGGAAAGTGTCCTTATACCCGAAGTCTCATTATATGTATTACAGTTAGCTGGGACTTTGCTCTGGGCATGGAAATTCTGTCGTTATTCGCGAATTGTCGCTATATCCGCAGTCGTGATTAGCGAAGTTGACTGTAAGACATATGGCAACACAGCCGAATGCAGGTGATACCGCATTGGATGGTGCCGAAACCAGCAGCATGCTAATTAACTGTAACCTACCTGCAGCAAGACGGCGGAATGTGCCAAGGCATCATTGAGGGCCAGCAGTACATTGCTAGCGGTCACAACGCTGGGATCATGACCCCAGGTGGTGATGATCAAGTAGTGATACGCCTGGAAGATGGTGGGTAAGCGGCGCAGACGTGTGCCACGCACCAGCAGCAACGACGGTGGTCCGGCCTTCAGCTCTTTGTAGAGCCAGAGCTTGAACCAGACGGAGGAGACTTCCGCAATTACCGGGCCAAAGTGGACGGGTCGAACGCTGCTCACCGGGCGTATCTCATGACTCAGCGGTGCCATGGAAACCAGTAAACTGCACACAACAGATAAGGGAAATCCATAGAGGGCAGTTTGAACGCAGTGGAGCAACACCTCTCAGATGACAAGACATTAATACTTAAGAGTTATGCCTGGTTCACACTTGGCCGATTTTCCGGCCGATGCTCCCACACCGACTCCGACAAGAAATCGACCGACTGTGTCGGATGAGTCGGACTAGCTGTTCACACACAACGGTGGCCAATTTGGCTTGTACTATAGTTGTAGGCTTGTCTGTTACACACGTACACGTAGTACACAGCCGCGCTAGACCGCAGTAGACGCTAGACAGCGGAAATGAGATAGTCTTTACACAAGCTACAAGGCCAAATGCGTGAAAAGGCTAGCGTCTATAGTTGTAGTAGCGATCCAGTGCAGCCAGTTCACGGTCTGCACCGACGCTCTCCGCTGTCATGGTGAAAAGCCTACAATGATTGGCCCGATGCCTGCTCCATCACGTGCAAGCACTAAACATCGGCCGGCTTTTCGGCTAAATATCGACCAGTTGATACTTGGCCGAAAACTAGTGCGATAAGAAAATCGCCGCAGATCTGTCGGAAACCTGTACGACAAAACCGTCCACAACAGGCAATTTTCGCCCCGATCTTGAGGATTTTTCGTACAAGTCCGTATCGGCCGGAAAATCGGCCTAGTGTGAACCAGGCATTAGAATGAACAGGTGTAAATCTTTGCCACGTGTGTGCGTCAACATTAAAGCCACAAAGCAGCACCAGCTTTGGATAAAAGAAACACGAATAATAAAGTATGATATGAAAGAGCATTCATGCACCACTGTCCCCACTAAGGAGTCATGGGGTATTACTTTCTTTGTGGGATATTGTCCACTGTGTAATCTGCCGAGCATCAGTCGCTGATGATTGCGCAAAGCAAAAACTCTCAGTAGAGACAGATTTTCTTCTACTAGGCCACCCTGTGTGCAAAATGGAAGAGCAGCATCCTATGGTAGAGTGGTACAACGTGACGTGAGTGTTTCCATTACAAGTACACTGCGTACACCCAGCTGACAACTTACCTGTAGTTCTTGTTGAGCAGACGACTACAGGAGGCTGCATCCAGACTGTTGAGGCTCTCGCATCGAAGCAAATCTAGCGCACAAACAGGCCAAAAAGCACAATTAACGCCAGACTGAAGATAATCTATCACACACAGGAAATGGTAAAATGACGGGTGAGGCACACGTGCAGTACAGGTGGAAATGCACGCTTGCCCGACATGATCTTTTTTTCTGGCAGGAAGGCTGCACCATGAAGTCCTGACGGCATCATGGACACAGTGTACTCGATCAAGTACAGTACATTCTCTGTAGTGTGTGTGTGTGTGTGTGTGTCGGTGTGTGTGTGTGTGTGTGTGTGTGTGTGTGTGTGTGTCTGAGAGAGAGAGAAAGAGAGAGAGAGAGAGACACACACACACACACACGCGCGCGCGCGATTCAGTGTTAAACTCACCCACACCAGCTCCTCCATCGCTGGCCTCACCAACGGACATTCGCTCGTTGAAGCGCAGGAAGTGTAGTGTATGCCGCAGCGTGATGGCGTGGTCGAAATAGCGCTGGGCTTCCCCTTCGGCACCTTCTGATGTACTCGTCTCATCCACCTGCAGAACACACAAGACAACCCTGATTTGTAAGTATGAGACACGGTGTAGAAGACTTCAACTATACCGATTACCAAGAGTACATTAGTAACTCCCATCTTGAGCTACGATGGACTTACTGTATACCGTAATTCCGCGCATATAAGCCCACGGGCCTATATCCGGATATAAGCCCATGGGCTAATAAACAGACACAAATGCAACTCGCATGTCAAGTAGAATTTTTCACAAAATGGACTCTTCCTACCATGGTACGGCAGGTCAGTGTAGTTTACCAGTAGAGTATGGTAGACCCACTATGGCCACGGACTTGTACTTTTTCGTGAACCTTCAAAATTCGGAATATTGGCCCATGGGCTAAAAAACAAACATGTTTTACGGTTTATTTTATCCCCAAACTGCACTATTTCACATAATATTATAAGCCCATGGGCTTCTATGCGCGGAATTACGGTACACATACTTCCTTGTACAAAAGCGCATGTGCTTATATGCGAACCGTCGCTGTTTGGCAGAACGAGAGGTCCTTTATGCTCGCATATACCGGCATGCACTTGCTCGTAGTATGGATATCCAGTGGATATACAGTGAAACCTGTCTAAGACGACCGCTCAAGGGACCTTCAAAACGTGGTCTCTGTTACCAGGTGGTCTCCTTATCCGGGGTCATTTGCCATTTGCACTGCAGGATCTCTTGCTTTGCATGATCGCACCAGTGTGCCAAATGGCCGTGACAGATTGATGTCATGGAGAATTCGGTCCTGGGTTGAGAGACTGTTGAGTTGCACATGTTTGCGTATGTACCCCTGCTATTACCAACAACACACCCCATCCTTGTCGACAGGTCTAATATAATATCAGCATAGCCAGAGGCGGTTCCAGTGCATGTACTGCAAACATGAAGGGTGTCATGAATGGTCACTGAGTGCAATGATCCATTCACCCTTACTCAGAGAATGTACCGCATGCATAATGACCGTCAGCCACATTTAGCTGCAGATGTTTCAGTACTGAAAACCATGAGGCGCAACTTAAATAAGAAAAACAGCACGCAAAAACGGTAGACCTTATCCACCTCCACACAAGCATTCATGGCAGTTTACAATGACACGCACACCTGCACCATGAAACAAACCATGCCTACACCCAGTGATGTTGGCATGCACGTCTACGAGTACACCTACCTTGTCAAGCTCTGCCAGGAAGCTAGTCATGGATTCATTGGCCAGCTTGCCAACTTCAAACATAGTCACCGCATGGCTTTTCAGACCCTGCACACACACGCGCACACACACACACACACACACACACACACACACACACACACACACACACAACACAAGCCACAGGTTGACAAGCACGGCTGGATGTACCACACAGATGTGCACCTAGGACTAGTTTCACAATAACACTATGACTCTATGCAGTCCATCTGCACTGTCCCATGATCTAGCACTGACACCTGGCGGACTACGAGTCAAGTTGACACGAAAACTCACATACACACTAAACACCCAAGACACATGTACAGTACCACACAAACTGGAATACATGTACTAAAGGACATTGCGGCAAAATATCCACGATTTCAAAATTATTCAATGTATACTTGAACTTTATACAACACAATCAGGGTAACAGTACTTCGAAGTAACTGCACACAAGGACAACCCGCACACACACACAGACACACAGACAAGATAAGCTGGAGCCAAGCCCTACCTGTGACAAATTGCCCATCATCAGGAATGCTGTGAGTGTGGAGTCAAACAGAAAGCCAATCCGTTTTCGTCTGCCCCCAGCAGCTGGCAGTGATGGAGAGCCGGTCAGAGGATCATGATCTGACATCACTACGACAACACGTACAAACACACGTACAGCCGGACATGCACACATACAGACAGACAGAAGAAAAGAACTTGTGTCAGGCATCAATAAGTCACTATAACCTACAGAAGGCAATGGGCAGCTTGTTGGGGTTCAGAAGACTTCCACCATTGATGCTGAACGCCTGTACAATGTACTTGGAAAGGTTCACGTCAACTCCTTTGGCACCAGAAACTGAATTGTGCAAGTTGCTTACAACAGCAGTGAAGAAAATTATTAGAAATGCAAGCTGCACCAAGAAAAATTCCTGGAGACTCGAGAGGAATGGAGCAGGGTTGTTCAAAGAAAGCAACGCACCTTGCAGAACACAGTTATGAAAGAGCTAGGTGGGAATATCTAGCGCGGCAGACACTGACTTGTAAATCTAACAAGACACGTTGTCATTGGCGCATGTGTTGTGAGTTCTACACAGTGTCTGCTAGTAATTATACTCACTTTTTGTTATTGGCTTGGGCAGTGTAGTAGTAGGGGATACGGACCCTGACCCTTCTGCGGGGCCATCAAAGTCGATAAGAGGAATTAACTCTCCAGACGCCTTGTCAGCAGCAATTGCCACTGGAACAGGGTCCAGAAGTGATGGACCAGTCGCCCTACAGAGGAGAAGCACATAAACAGCACAAGAACTATGTTAACAGCTATGCCAGCTCTTCTCGCTTCACCAATTAGAGGCTGCTGAAAAGAACAACACTACTACGACTGCAGAAGGGCTGGGTTGGGTAGAGGCGAGAGACACTGTGAAAGACAGCAGCACAGTCACGCCACCACACAGACGTGTGATAAAGAGCAATGCTCAGCAATCGAGTGTAAGATTATACCAATAGGAGGAGTGGAGCTACTGCACTTTTAGCACTTCTCAACCACGCGAGGTACTCAGAGTTACAGTAGACAGAACACTAATGACATGTATAGTACACCAGTATTCGCTATGGCCACTGTAGTTATTTTATCTCCAAGAGTTGCAGATCCCCCCCCGCTAATACCCTATTGACGTGGCTTCGCTCATGCCATCATTTATCACCGTGTGCCTTATTCTAATACAGGAACTTGAGAAATGAGCAGTACAAGTACAAGTATCAGTGATACGTACACTTTCTTTCCACTCTCGGCCATGTAGGTACGCCATGTTGGGTGCAATGACTCGTGGCTTACTCCAGCACTGAGCTTCTTGGCAAAGCCCAACCGAATGAACACAGACACTGCATTCTGTGACACAAGACACAAAACAAGATGGTTGAAAGAGCGAAACACCAAGACTACATGTGGAAAAAAAGAAGAAGAAAAAGAGGCACTTCTTTAGAAACACAAAAGCTGGCCGTGTTAGACGTAGAGGATATAACCCGAGTCAGAGGGTTATACCGGCTGAATATAAATCCCGACTGCGATAGCAGGAGGGATTTATATGAGGGTACGGTATAACCCGACTACGAGGGTCATATCCTACTTATGCCAGGTACCCCTACGCATTTCCAGAACAACGAACCTATTTGGAGATCTCCTACATCATGCAGTACATGAACATCTTCTGATGGTTATCAGTTGTCAGTTGAAAGAATGGTCGAGCAAGGTCAGAAGGAGATTCCTCCGTGGCATAAGATTTCCTTTCAGTACCAGTGCATATTGTAGCATCTTCATGATCTTGTCTTGAGTCGTGAGCGGTGCGGAAGTCGACTGAATTGCTGCGGTGCTGGAGTTTGTCGTTGAATCAAACTACCGTCACTAGTTAGATTACAGACTCTTTGGGAGTAAGTGTTACTATAATTATGGTACAGTGCTGATTTTCACATGCGGCATCTTATAATCAGTTTTGCTTGCAAGTAGATGCATTTGCATGCACTGTTTTGTATCACATTTCAATCCAATCTATTGTAGCCTTTTCCAATCGGGTTGAAGTACATGTACATGTACACTGGCATTATAAACTTATTTACGAAGGAGACAGTCTGTTGATGATCTTCAACTCTTCGAAGTACAATGTACATTGCTGACCCATTCGGGATACTTCGTGGTTATTCGACGTTCTTTATCCTCAGATTCAGTATAACAGAATACTCTGTAGACGAATTCCAGGTCATTCCTCTTTTGTGTACCATGGTGTACTGTTCCTCGTCAGTGTGCCGTTCTGTGTGGAGTGTACACGTGCATGTGGTGTCCGTTGTGTCTGTTTATGTATGGTCCGTGCGCTGGAGTACTACCGCCGTACAAGTTAATTAGTTCACTGCCTTTCGATTTCAGGCAGTGAACATGTACGGTGGCAGTGCCCTAGCGTACGTACCGTGCACCGGGATTTATATTCTATATAAATCCCGCGCGGGATTTATACTGGCCTATATAACCATGGCTAGACGAGCGCTGATTGGCTGAAAACAGGCCCTCCGTACCGTACCATGGTATAAAACTCAGTTATATAGCCGGTTGTAACGCGGACGTGCGAACTTACGTGTACTTAGCACTTTACTTTACAACTGATTGAGAAATGTCACTATCACACACTATGAGTGCAGCAGACACAGGAATCACAGGACCAAGCAAACACAGCGATGTTCATTGTGCATACATCTGCATGCTGTGTAAGGTGGCCTCTGCTCAGGACATCATAGCCACAGTCACTAATGGAAGACAGGTTTTTGAAAACGTGTAGTTTCCCCGTCGTCACAATCTGAACGGAATACTTTAAAGTAAACACACCTATTAAAGTGCAGGGAGGATCCATGCATTGCACTACACATGTACCTGTGGAGGATCCATGCATTGCACTACACATGTACCTGTGGACGATCCATGCATTGCACTACACATGTACCTGTGGAGGATCCATGCATTGCACTACACATGTACCTGTGGACGATCCATGCATTGCACTACACATGTACCTGTGGACGATCCATGCATTGCACTACACATGTACCTGTGGACGATCCATGCATTGCACTACACATGTACCTGTGGAGGATCCATGCATTGCACTACACATGTACCTGTAGTAATACTTCAAAATACTAGCAATAGTATAACTTTGAGCTGCAGAAGACTCACCTTGACCAGTTGTAAGTCAATTTGCAGCACTGATGATAGCTGCACAGGTCAAACCAGACAACGTCAAGTCAAGAAAAAAAAAGATATAATTACACGAGCACGCATACAAGCGGTGTGCATCACGGGTAGGGAGAAGCATGCCAGAGCTGTTGCAAGCAGTATAAACAATTCCAATGTCTTTAAACAGGTTGAAGGATTTCTCCTTGCATCATTAGACATGCGCGTAGTCTATATTTATGTTGACTTACCTCTGCTATGCTCGTGTTCTCATCGATAGACACAAAGATCTTGTAGAGAAGAGTCTCAAAGTAATCGCCCTGCACACGATTCATCACAAAGCCTTCCAGCGGAGGAACTACACACACACAAACAAACACAAACAAGAATAAAATCTGAGCAAGGGAGACAGGAAGACGGTGTAAGTTACAACATCAGCATGTGTACAGGTTACACTTACTATCAGACACAACTATGACCATGCGAAGACCATCAACGAGAGGACCACTCATATCCAAGTTGCATAGACTAAGAGAACAAAATAGCCAGACAATCCAACGAGCCACGGGTTGAGGAGAAATACCTTGAATGTGATCGCTATCCTCCAGCGGTACATCAAAGTAGATCAGACCACGGTTGTAAAGAGCTGCAAGCACAACAGCAACAACACACACACACACATAGAGAGAGAGTGAGTGAGTGTGCGAGAGAGAGAGAGAGAGAGAGAGAGAGAGAGAGAGAGAGAGAGAGAGAGAGAGAGAGAGAGAGAGAGAGAGAGAGAGAGAGAGAGAGAGAGAGAGAGAGAGAGAGAGAGAGAGAGAGAGAGAGAGAGAGAGAGAGAGAGAGAGAGAGAGAGAGAGAGAGAGAGAGAGAGAGAGAGAGAAAAGAGAGACAGACCAATCAAGCTGTAGGTTATAATTTCCGTAGTCTTGCACAGCCTAGAGTGTAAAGGCCAATGACACAGTGTGTAGTACAGCATCATCACCATTTCTTACTACGGTAGAAGCATGAGAAGCATGCTGGTATATGAACCCTTGACTGCATTGCACCCACAATTGCACAGGCAGGTGGGAAAGATTCAAACTCTGGGACACAGTAAGGCATAATCGGCTCACATCATACAGGTCAGTGGGTGGGTAGATCCACATGTTAGGGTGGGCAAAGTTTGGATAGCCTGTATGCGACTGTAAGTGGATGTGAAGTGCACACATGCGTTGGCAGAGGGAATGATTACCCTCATTCTCACGCAAGGCCAACACAACATGCTTGTGAGGGGTCACACGAAATAACACAGCTAGCATAACGGCCAGCATAACACGGCCAGCATAACACAACCAGAATAACACAGCTAGCATAACGGCCAGTCACTTCCCACCTGATAGCAACACAGCAGACTTACTCAGTATGACTTCACGATCCATGTGACCAGCTACGCGTGGACCGACATCGATAATGGAGTCAATTACCTTCACTTCATCCTGGGAGCACATCTGAAGGTGACAAACAAGAACATCACCAAGGGGATGAAAACACACCAAGTGTACAATATGCAGTCCTGCTTTCTTTCCAACTATGCATGAGATTCTGTCATAGACACCAGGCTCAAAGGCTCTGCTACGAGCTCCATTCACATTCACAGCTCAGGGACTGAGTAACACTGTTACACATTCAATGACAGACCAGTATACTAGTAGTTAGGAAGAGCACAGCAGCCAAGAACACCAACCAACCTTGACATCCTCCTCCATGATAGAGCCGATAAACACCACCCACCAGCTCTCAATGCGCTGCTCCTTCACAGGTCGGCTGGGTAGTAGCTGGGTGATGGGCTTGCCACGACGAAATAATTTACCCTACAGCACGAAGGCAGCAAAACAACTAGATTCTTAGGAAATTGCAAACAGTGCATGATCGGAAACAAAAAAAACATTGAAGACAGATGTTGACATCGACATGAATCAATCAAAAAGAGACCAGAAGATCGCCAAGGCAAAGCGACTGCTTCGTAGTGACACGGACAAACCAAACCAAGTCCTCCTTACCTTTGATCGGCACTGGTTCATCAGCTCTATATACTGGTTACGGCCAATGCCAAGTAACCGAACACCTAAGAGGCAAAGAAAGAGAGAAAGGGAGAGAGAGAGATGAGGGGAGGGGATTGGTCAGAAAGTAGGATGGGAAATATTAGATCACAAGATGCACTCCGACTTCGAAGCACCTTGAATTGAAATTAATATTCCAATATTAAAACACTGGAGCAGTCGAGAATCTAAACCCAGAAGAAATATTTGAATGTAACTGTTAGCAGAAACCTAAACAAGGAGTGATAGCTGCACAGCCACGGCCTTTTTATACTGTGTGCTCCCCCCCCCCCCCCCAACACACACACACACACACACAGGCCTGGAAACCTACCGTCCGCAGCGGTGAAGTTGGGCAACGAGTCATAGCTCTTCTCCGCACTCATGATGTCATGCATGATTTGCAAGTAGTAGGTGAACGGTGTGAAGCGCATCTTACGAATCAGCACATCCGACAAATGATACGGAAAGAGCTACATCACAACAAAGCGAAACAAGAAGGAGACGACAAAAAAAGAACAGAATCTCACAAGGAGTTTCATGGTGCAAATTGAAAGTAATAAAATATTCAGGTCGTAAGGCGGCTAGAAAGCATGTACAGAAGAATGCAAAGACAAAGAACTAACGCGTAATAAAGTCAAGTCGGATTACCCCCACAAAGAGTAAATAAGCCCAGAGTATGCAATGACCTGCACAACCTATCTCTTATTGGCGATGGTGCCATCGTGAGAATAAAGAATTCAACCTCAACCTCTATACAGTGCTGCGACGGCGGGGGGGGGGGGGGGGGGGGGGAATTTCACATCATGTGACATGCTTCAAAAGGTTACGTTGGCAGACAGTGCAACGTGACCAGCAGAGAGTTGAACCCAAAACAGGGCTGCGTCCAACCCTGTATCTGTCATGCACAGGGTGCAAATAATGTGCACGGGTTTGTCACGTGATGTGAAGTTCTGCATCGCAGACCCCAAAGCTGGAGTTGCACAGTCTTGGGGGTTATGTCTTCTTGCCGGTATATGTACTTGCATTCCATAGTGCTATGCCATGTACACTAGAGAATATATTTAGCAGACTGGAAAGAGTGAAAACTGTACTGACACCCTCCACACCAATCACCCTTCGAGTCACGCAATTTCCCAAAGCATCTGAATAAGTCAACAAGTCAATAAGCCAACGCAACACATACCATTAGATGCTCTCGACTGTGCTGGATCAACAGCTCATAGTAGCGCTTCTCATCTTTCTGTACACTGCGCACTGGAGCGAAGCAAAGAGAGAGACAAAGCAACAGAAGACCTTTCATTAGAAATGTCACGTATCCCATGGTACGGGACGGAGAGTCTGTTCTCAGGGCCGCCGCCAGTTACGTCCCCTATTGCCACCCCATACGCTTTTTGCGACAGGAGCGGAAGACAGTAGGAAGCCAATACTGGCGCACAGCCAAGACATGCTGCACAATCTATTAGTACCCTACTGCTTACTAAACAGTAAAAACAGGCAGGGAATGCACAACGTTAACAAGACACCATGTGACGTACAGCTTCACCATCGACGAACCCCGTAGAAAAACACTCCCAAAAGAATAAAGTTTTAGAAGCCCCCCCCCCCCCCCAGCTCACCAGGCTATGCAAGAGTACAGCAGACTTACCAATATTTCCTCGCCAGCGAAGCTGGTTCTGAACGCTGTACTTGAACACTGACTTCTCCCATTCTCGCTGGGTGCCTAGTGCCTACAACACGGATGATGGCATACACATGACACACGGCTTAGAAACACACAGCAATGGAATACTGTAATGCCGCGTATACAAGCATGACCTGTATAGAAGCATGACTCGAATAGAAGCCGATTTTTCGAAGCGCGCCGTGACACAGAAGCACGATTTGAATAGAAGCCGCCCTCTGCAAAGTTACATGTGCAAGTACATGCATGGCAGTATGCACTGCACAGTGCAGACTGATGATGTTGACGTAGAAGCATGTTTTGAATAGAAGCATAACTTGAATAGAAGGATGATTTGAACCCCGGCTTATACGGCCGTAAGCACCAGCTTTTTATACGCGACATTACGGTATGTGGTGGCGATAGCTATGTTCTATATGTTCTAGATGTTCAATCTGCGGACAGCATGCTGTTTCGTCCTTAGTGGACTCATCAGCGCAGCACAGAGAAAATGACGATGTTCTATATGTCGAGAGATAGAGATAGATAGATAGATAGAGAGAGAGAGAGATAGAGATAGAGATAGATAGAGAGAGAGAGAGAGAGAGAGAGAGAGAGAGAGAGAGAGCTGTAGCTGTAGCTGTGTTGCGACTCAGAACTTCACGTTAAATCCCAATCATCAGGTTATGGAGGCTATGAATTCTACGCTACAACAGGGTCCTAAATATACAACGACAAACATGTATGGTGTACCTAGAGCATGGACCAGTATGATACAGAACTGCATTGGTTTTACTGTGATGGAATCGTAACGAATATCCCTGCACTGTCTGGATACAATTTCATTAGGATATTGAAGTACAAAACCAGTCTCCGACTTATTTTTGCATCCCGGGTCAGCCCCAAATGACTGGAGGTTTTCAATGTGCTTGAGGGGTTCATTACCAGTTGCATTTGTAGTGCACTTGTTATGTAATTGTTTATGAGTCGCTAAACCTCTTAATTTGTTTTGGCCAGACCACCACGAACCTCTAAACCTCTCGATTGACTAAATTCGAGGTGGACTTAGTAAACTGTTTCCTTAATAATAGAGAGCTTCTGATCCGTGCTCAATAGAGTCTAGAATCGTTTAGACCCGGTTGGGTGTGTAATGTGCAGGACCGTATTGTGTTTACTGCTATTTCCACTACGAACCGTGCCCTGAAGGCATTTCATACGACTTTTTTTAGGAGATCTAGTAGGTCAATAGCTCTATCCAAACTGATGAAGCTGGAAAAGAAAAAAATGGTCTTCCCTTGATTATCTGGGCTGAATTGGTCAAATACGCACACAATGAACACTCAACCAGGCATGTACACACACCTATGGGATTTCGCACATCTGCACAACGGGCATAAGGACCATTGGTGTAGCATCCAGTTGCGCTAATTCGAATTTCTGTGTACGTTTTGACGCAGATTATGTTCAAAGCAGCGCAGGTTCTGTTAAAGTTCCCGATGGTTATGAACAGGCCGGACGAAACCGGTGCGGTTGGTCAGGCCACGGCCGGACCAACTTTTTGGCCACCAATCGTCCAAGGTGTGTTTACTGCTGAGAAGTCATGTATATACCCTTTACATCATACACAGAGTATGAAAGGCTAGGGTGTGGCCGGGCCAATCAAAAACGGCTTCCGCCAGTCCTGATCAAATTGGTTTTATTCAAAAGCCAGAAACTCAAATTTCTTGCTAGTCTAGATATTTGAATCTCCAAAGGTTTTCTGGTCCTTCACAGAAAGTTCTGAAACGTTGACTACAAAATGTGCGGGTTATATTTGCACAAATGGATCTGAAACTCTCTAATAGCATAGATCTTGCGTGTGGACACACTTAAAAATAAACTGTTTGAATTTCTACCCAAATTTGAATTACATGTATCACATAAAATTCTTCATAAATGTACATTTCGAATAAGTCTCCAAAAATCTGGAAAGAATAGAATGAAGTCTTCACTCAGACGTGAACATTACCTTCTTGACAGCTTCTGGGAGTTTACTGTAAGGGTAGTTCTGTCGAATGTGAAATTCGACATCGCCACTCAGCGCCATGAGCTGGACAATTTACAATTCTGCACTGACATCCAAGTTATAAAAAATTCTAGACTCATTCGTCTGTGACCTACAATTACCACTGATTACAGAATGGCGAAAGCTAGTTCCGACATTTGGAGCAGTATGAGTGCCGCATAGAGATGCGCACTTTCAAGTCAGAGAACATGAGCAAATCAAACTCAGTCTCAGTAGACGTCAACGACGTGAGATCACTCCCCAACAAAGAAGTGACCTTCCTGAACTGGCCATGCGAGGAGTCCTGTGTACTTAGCGTACAATCATGCACTCACTAAAAATTACTTGGAGTCACGATCTAGCTTTCCCCTTGACAGTTTTTGTAGATACGTCTGGATGTTGGGAAGGTTTGCGGGGACCTGACACGAAAGGAGTAGATCCCCCCCCCCCCCCCGGCCCCGCCTGAACAGCAGTGGTTGTTATATTACTACATCGTGTAACTGGTCTGTACTGTGGCGCTGTGGCGTGGACCTGGAAGGGTGTCAGCACACCAAGTACAAGCGTACAGTAGATACCCCTTTGGGGGTATTTCGTCCTTTTCCTTCTGATTCTTTGCACAGTTGATAAGCCATGAATCAAAATTATGCGATCATGTGCATGTGGTGAAGTGATCTTGCTGGTTACAACATGACAGGGTAGGTCTACATAACCTGAGTGTGCTGCAACTCCGGGAGAAAGTGGACATATGGTGCAGTTTTTTTGTTTACGACGCGTATACATGTACCGGTAACTTCGGATCATAGTGTGGCTCACATTTGCTGCATCTCACACCGGCTCCCATGGTCATTTTATTAACATAATATGTTAATTATCACAAAGGTAATTTATTTCTGTTGTGCCGCTTGTCAAAAAAATCGGTGAAAGACACATGAATGTCCCGGCATCATGCGCCTTAGAGTGATAATAATATTATCACTCTAAGGCGCATGATGCCGGGACATTCATAATATTATTATGGTGATCGGGTGATTTGGCCCTGAACCTCCACTAGACGGGCTGACGGATTCTCCCCGTATGATTCGTGATGAACTAAACAAAAACCGTGCTTTGTCTTGGGAGTGTTTTCGCTACGGAGCATAGGTGCCGGAGTTGCACACCATTGTTTAATAACTGGTGGAAGTCAAAGTTTTCAGGTCCTAGTGGGTTTTGCCGGGCTGGCCGGCACTAGGAGCTACATGTACACACACAACACACAACAAGTTGGAAAGCTCTCACATCAGGACACGTCACGCCCGGTGATAGCCTTGGGCTATGCGGCGGGCTGTGCAATCTTGCTGGCACATGATGGTGACTTGGCCCCGGGTCTGTTTGACCAGCACACAGCCGCTGAGCCAATTTTCGGGTGCGGATAGGCACTGAAGACTCCGGGGATATTATTATTATTTTGCCAAAACCAAGCGCATAGCACCGCCGTTGGAGGTGGTCCGGTTGGAGGGGGTCTGGGGGTGTCCCCGCGGGAAATTTTTGAAATTAGGGTGCAAAATCCTGCATTCTGGGCACTTCTGGGCGAAAAAGTGGTCCGGCCAAAGCCGGACCGGCTGCTACGCCCCTGAAAACGCCCTATGTAGTTCTATTGACTCGGTCACCAGATACTCAAAGGCGACAGCAGATTCAGCTCGGAGACAGCGGTTGGATATTTCTAACACCCGCGACATGAACAAACTCGTGTGGGCAAAACTAGTATCCGGTAAATCCGAATACAACACATCTGTATCAGCCTTTAAAAAAAATTGAAAAAAAACAAAAGTAAAATCCATTGAGTGATTTCAACATAATATGTTGCAACGACCTTACGAGCCACGGCCCGGGCTGCATGCAGGCTACAGGCTTGCAATCACCATGCATCAGCTCTGATCTTGAGATGTGCTCGAAGAGTTTAAATAAAGTAAATTGATGGATCCAACCATCGACTGTAATTGCAATCGATCGCAATTTTGTGCAAGAATCAATTCAGCACTTTAAAGGTATATGTGGCACATCATCCAACTTGAGTAGCGGATCAACAGCTGTCAACTTGAAATGAAGCAAAGAAGGCGCTGACATTCGACATCCCAGTGCACCAAGCATGTGACTGTCAAATATGAAGGTGGACTCCCGAGCCACAATGTAAGCAGATATCTCCTCTACCATTTCAGCAATGAAGACTATTTTACCATTTATATGACAGACAACCGGGCTTCCGATAACTTTTAAATAAAGCTGTGTGGACCCTGGCTAGCGCCAGGCGTTACTGAACTTCGTACGTCTTTTGCATAGCTACGGGGATAAATTTTTAATCAACGCTCGCATCAAATCAGTCAGTGTCAAGTTTACTCTCTCAAGCATGGACATGGGGTATCCAGTGTCACTGAGTGCCACCGCCAATGGTGCCAAAGAGCTGCATGCTATGTACTTGTGTCATCAGTGGTGCAGTTACCAATGTCATCTCGGTCCGTATCACTGTGCTCATCAAACTCATCCTCAGCAGAAAGATCCCTACAGCATTCAGTCAGAACACGATGTCAAGGGAAGGAAGATCAGAGAGACGGAAACATCCATGTTTTCATCAGCAATAGCACTGTAATATTCCAGATAGCCATACGCAAGGTGACGGTGCACTGACGTTGATTCACAAATTCACGTCCTACCTTCCCCACCCCCGGGAACTCTGCCAACTGAGGGTCCAGCTCCCTGGCAACATGATCTCATTCTAGCACCGAGACCGGCAGAAAGAGCGGGCTCAGTGAACACAACGAGCAAAGTATCATTGCTGCGGCCAATCTATGCTTTTCACAGGATCGTCAATTACATCATGAGAACCTTTATCTGTTCGATTTAGACCTCTCAGCAAGCAAGGGAATGTTCCACCAGATGGTAGTGACCGAGTGTCTAAAAAATTATCAATTGATTATTACACGCAAAAGGCACAAAGGAGCTTTACAGAGTTCGTCGCAACTAAGCGTTTCTTGCACAATGCAATCATCAGGCGACTTATGACATATTCACGGTGGGACTTGGCCAATATAAAGCATAGATTACAGATTGTACAGATTGATGATAGCTAGTGGGTGCTGATTCAGCACAGAACTACTGTTATAATTATAACGTTACTCAAGGGAATGCGGAGATGCGGCTCTTACCTGTAGCGATGTCTCTGACGAATGCAGTCAGTGAAGCAACCACACCTAACACATTCCAGAAATACGGCAGACACGGATGCAATCTGATTTAGCATTCAGCCTTGTATAGATATGCAAGTGACACAAGTAATTGCTACAAGTACTCCTACTGACTTGCCACGGCAGGCAACCATTGCTATCTAATTGGGTACCCGAGTATGTTACATGTTAGCCCCCGAAACCAAGTTACCCAATATACTTCAAGAAGGAGAGTCTCGACACAGTCCTAGGCATCTTCACAAAAATAAGTAGTACTGAGGCAGCTGACCATCAACAATGAAACCAGCAATAGTGATAGACAGCAATAGTGATAGACAGACAATTGCACTATGGTTGGTAGGTGTGTTCGGCATACAGAGGCACACAGCATACTTCAAGTAATATTTATACTCCGAGCTCTCCAGCAACGAGCGTCGTTCAAACAGTTCGTCCATTGTTTCCAGGCTTCGTCCCTGTGCACCGGCAAACACAATGTGGAAGAAGAACAGATTTCAGTCTAGTTGAAGCCGCCGGCAGTCATTCCACATTCAGAACCCGCTACAGTGTGTACTAACAAAGACATGCAAACCGTGCATATTCACAAAGCCACCTGATTGGCATTTCGTTGTCTTGCAACAGCTTTTCGGCACATGTAAGCCATTATCCATAATAAAAAATAAAAAAAATTCACGGTTCGCGTGAGACTCGGCTGGAAGCCCAGTTTTCCGCATCCGTCATGGGAACACCACCACCCTCTAGGATCAAAGGCGCAGATGCAGCGCCTAAACGGTGGGAGGTGAGTAGATCAGACCCACCACCAAGTGGTCAAAGACCGAAATCCCATTACTTATTGGCTGCATCCATGATTATCCATAAGTGACATAGTAATCATTGCGGGTTAAATCCAGAGCGTCAATTTGGAAAACCACAACTGGAACAAACAAGCTTATTATCAAAGCAATCGTTGCATCATGAAGGGCCCAAACACACACACACACTCACACACACCAACCAACATAATTATCAGTACAGCTTACCTTGGTCTCTGGGACAACAAGAAGAATGAAGATGACACCAGCTAGGTTTCCAGCTCCCATCAAAAACAGCGTTCCTTGGACATCTAAAGCTGACGGTGCGAGCATTAGCGGAGTTCCAAAGGCAATAGCAAAGTTACCGGCCCAATTTGCAGAAGCTGAGATAGCAACCAACTTCCCTGTACAAAGTAGACAAGGTATCCGAATACACAGCTCAAATATCTGGAGGCATCCAAAAGTTCAAAAATGCAAGAAAATCAGAGTTGAAAAGAAACTTCAATCTGAATTTTTTGATTGCTCCCAGGCCCCAGGGTGCCTTCTATAAATTGTAAAAGATTTACGGAAAAAAATGGGCCTGTCCGGGATTTGAACCCGGGACCTCTCGCACTTTTATGTTTATGTATCTATGTCATTCGGATCTTCCCAAGTTGTACAATGTACTGTTGAGATACCGAATTCAAATAAATCAATACCATACCATATCTGGCCTATCCGGGCGGTCCGGGACCGGGCACTGCCCGTAACTTCGAAATGACCGTAACTCCGAATCACATATATTTGATGGGGAAAGGCCATTATGGCATACGACGTCACTATTTCGGGAGTATTTCCACAAAAAGTGACAATAGTAAACTAAAATTGACCCGATGGGTGTCTGATAGACCGAAGTAACTTCAGGTTCCGGATGTACTTGCTTGTGATTGAAAAGATTTACGGAAAAAAATGGGCCTGTCCGGGATTTGAACCCGGGACCTCTCGCACCCAAAGCGAGAATCATGCCCCTAGACCAACAGGCCGCCACATGAATAACCATGTTGAGAATGCTCAATATAGGACAGAGGGGCGAGCAATACTGGGCGGGTACACATGATGCTCATTGCTCTGGCCCACTGTGGGAGAAACAAGTGGAATATATGTACATGAACATGTACTACAAATAACTGTTACTAACCACAAACAATTCGAAAAGCTTTAGAAGAAAAAAAACATACCAACCTCGGAGACGAAGCGGGAAAATCTCGCTGGTGATCACCCAAGCAATCGGTCTACAGCAAATGAACAACAATGAAGAGACAAGTTTGATAGATGACTGTCAGTCTGGTTCTGTTCCAGGTTAAAACCATGAAACTCTTGATTGCAGCCGCTGTGACCGTCATATCACCACCACATTCATATTCAACATACAGGGACGCCGGACTGGTATTCTACATTGGCACGACCATGAACAAGAAAGGTGGGGGTCCCGGGGGGCCTCCCCACGAAATGTTTAAGAGAATTGGGCCCACGTAGCCCATATTTCATTGCTTCAGAAATCGCAGCATATGATTATTGTTACATCTCTGGCCGCACCTGGCACGCTGGTTCCGACGCCCCTGAACATAGCAACACAGCTGGCTACCAAGCACGTCGCTGAGTGCATGCCACAGTCACTAAAATGGACAGTTTGTCAGTTTAGTACTGGATATTATGTCTACAATGTATCATGTACTGCAGTCACTGAGATCGAGGACATCACAACTACCTACCCCCACGTCAAGGCGAAGAAGAAGACGAACGCACACACACAGAACACGACAAGGATGCCACTTGATTTGGAGAGGTTGTCGTTACCACCATTCACGGTGATAATGGTGGCACCTAGCGTCGTCGTGATGCTCATTCCCAGTCCGCCAAATATCATCAGCACCTTCCTACCGACCTAGACCGACGCATGATTGTAAAGAGGCATACATGTACCGTGGATTACATCGTGTGACTGGCCTGTTCACTGTTTCATCTTACCCGTGGCATGCAAGGTCGCAAGGCCCGCATCTGAAGGAGGAGTGGTGGTTTTCAAATCGTGTTACGACCAACAAGCACCCTAGCAAGTACAGTCTTCATTACAACTCTACCATCTTCAGCCATGCTGTATGCAACTCAGTGGGATTGACTAAAAAACCGGAATACCCCGCAGTTGATACGCCAATGCCTGCATAGCACCTCCAAAACAGACAACGCAGAGATAGAAACACTGATGTAGGTCTCGCCCATGGCCGGCATGCCCGGGACTAACCTTGTCAACAAGACCCAACGTGCCAAACGTCGTGAGGAAGTTGATGATTCCAACCACTGCTGTCGACACATACGGACTGACATCGATAGAGGAGAATATTTTGGTTGAGTAATACCTGTCATAGTGAAGACAGCATAGCATGGATAAAGGGCCGCAACACATATAATATTATCATGTAGCTCACCAATATTTCAGATATAGTCCATATTAAGCTAGTGAAATGCAGGGTGAACTGAAATGTTTGTCAGCATAAAGAAGGCATAGTTGCCTGTTTGTTATGCGACTTTAAATATAGTACAACAACACCAACAACAATCCACGAATGGAACCTGTGTTAAATAAAAGCATTAGTTCTGGTAAGCGTCGGTTGGCTGCATATTTTCAAACCAAGCCGCTTTGTCAGTGGTACAAAACCGTGAGAGAATAGCAGGCTGCGGGTCACACAATAGATACTGCTACACAAGTGTTTCTAACAACACAACACCGCCCAATGGCTTACATGATGATATTCATGCCCGTGGCTTGTTGGAAAAGCTGTACCCAAACTCCAACTGACATTCTGAGAAAACAACGGACACAACAAACATAGTTGAACTTGTTCATCACAACAAAACATCGTGATCTTTCCATTGCCAATTGGTTAGGACTTAGCAGGTTTCTCCGTTCCAATACAACTCGATATACCTAGAGAGTAAACTGCCATCTGTTGGCTTCATGTACTCGGGAATCTGCTGCACGAGAAAGAATAGACTTCCATCCATTACAGCATGGGAAAGTACCAACATACAGAACTGAGCTAAAATCTGTACAGGGCCAACTCAAACTGTATCAGGGAACACAACACAGAGGTTTGTGTCTCAGAGCTTGCATATCCAACTGATCAAACACTTTCAAGGGGAATCAAACCATTTGCTTGTAACCATCACTACTGCGGTATTCGGTATCATCGTTCACTCTTCACCAATGATTACACTGCTGCCCATTCACGGTGGCCAAACAAGACCAGCCAAGCTCCACTGACAAACACAGGTCACGATCTGCTTGTTCATGTTCCAGTGGCATTTACCGTTTAAAATTGCTCCGTTGCAGTATTTCTCTCCACTTGCCACTGCCATGCACGCCGTTGTCCTCAATCTCTGCAGCAATGGAGTTGATCTCATCCAGCACTGCCTTGCTGACATCACCATCGGAGGTCACGTGCCGCTTGTAGCCAGTTTTGATCCAGCTCAAGACGCCCAGTGCCTCGGTGCGCTGCCCAGCCTTCATTAGATACCTGGAACGTGATACACATGTAGTAGTAACTTAGTAGTAGTGGAAGTAGTAGTAGTACGACACGAGAGATAGATTGGGCAGCGACTAGAAGCGTGCATACCTGACTACATATATATCATGCTGGGTAAGCCGTGTATCCTAAGCTGATACATATACCATGCCGCGACTGCTTACTGACATCCATGTACCCCTAACTGATCAGTGCTATTGCTGATCACTTGTACCTACCTGGGTGTTTCCGGTGCAAAGAGCATGCCGACAAACAAGATGATGGAGAAAAGAGATTGAAGAGCCAAAGATATTCGCCATCCATTGATATACGACTGGCAAGCAAGGTTGATCAGGAAGCTAACCTGCACCATGATCCACCAGGAACACACAAGAACGTGGAGAACATGGAATTGGTAGTCAGGGTAAGTAAATACCCACAATGACACGGTACGGAGAAGAAGTGCAGGTGCAGTACACTGTGTGACTACTAGAAGGACTGTGGAACTGCATCCCAAGGAGGAGGAGGATATCTACAGTACCCCAGAATCACGCTGAACTATTTTTACCATTGTTCTGCGGCCTATCAAGTATCAACAACGCTGCTGACTGCAGTGTGCTGAACTACACTGTGCATGTAGATTTGGATTGCCAGGCAAAGAAAAAATGGGCATGCTGACTTCTAATGGGCTCACCATAATGCCTGCATTGATACTGAGCTGGTTGAGGGACACCAGGCGACCGCGGTGCTTTGCTGGAGAGATCTCGGCATTGTAGATAGGCACACTCATGCTCAAAACCCTATAACGTGCCGTAAACAATAAAGACAATGGCAACTTTACTTCACTTGGGCTCCAGAGCGAGATTGTTATCCCCACAACAACTGCCCTACCACCTCTGGCTCTGGATCAACTGATTCAACTCCCAGTCTACCTCGGCCAAATTGAAGGACAGAACTAAAATATATCATGCGCCTTGATACCGGCCCCGGGGAGGGGGTGATCCGGTGTACATGGCTGCAGAAGAGCCAGTCTGACTCTCTCTCTCTCTTTCTCTCTCTCTCTCTCTCTCTCTCTCTCATGTAGAGAGCAGTGAAATGTATTATATCTATACAGCAGTACATGTATCCTTGAGATGCCACCTTTCACCAGCAGAAGTAAGCAACAGACAACTGTAATGTACTCTACCAAGAGTACATGAAAACCAGAGTGTGCAGCTCGGATGGGTTGCTGTCACGGCGAAATTCCGTGATTACATCATTTTTGTGATGTAGTGCGTACAAGCAGGATTCCAGCAGGTCTCTTTCTGCACAACTACAGCTCAGCTGTACGCACTACGCCATTTCCCGCCTCAGATCTGCGCCAAATATGATTGTAATCACGGAATTCCGCCGTGACAGACACCCATAGCAGAAAAGGCCCCAAGCTGCACACTCTGGTTTTCATGTATTCTTGACTCTACCTCTACCTGTTTCAGAACCATTCAACTGGTGGATGCCCAGCTTCAACGGTTTAGCTGGTATTATGATCAAAGTGCATACTAGTAGGCTGATAGGCTTACCCTACACCTAGTCCAGACACACAGCGTCCAGCGAACACCATCCTGAGCAAGCGGCACAGCAAACATGACACACAGCATGATAGCGGAACACAGTACTCCACAACTATCACCGCTACCGTCCATGCCGTTATCAGGTGTCCTTGTATGACACAGCTTATAGGGCTAAGACTAAGAGTAAACTTGATATGTGGAAGAAAACCTGGTAATAAACTGCAGCATAGGTGAGCCTGGTATCAACTCAATAGACAATGCAGTCACAGTTGCTGTTTTGCTAGTGGTACTTGAAAGGTGCCTTGCGCCTTCTTCAAAATACCTATCAAACAATTAGGGGGGGGGGGGGGGGGGAGGGGGTGTAGCAAAAACAGGCACTTGTACACCATGCAGTCAAATCAATATTCAAACAGGCCCGGCAGCTGATTGAGCTAACCAGACTAGGCAATTTCCTTCTTATTGCTTGGCCTCACCATAGATAATAGGCCAAGGCTTGCAGCAGACCACCCACTGTGAAGATGGAAGCACCGGTGAGGATGATTACACGGCGGCCATGCCATTCAGATACAACTATCACAGCAAACCAAAAGCAGAAATACCACTCATCGTCTGCAGCAGCTTCCAGTCTTTTCTAAGCCATGCTGCCATGATGGCAATGGGTCATCTCTTAAGCGATCGTGACAATCATCAGATTCTATGTAGACACGATGGGATCGGATGAACATCATAATTTGATGAGATTGGTACCCGAGTCATACCTGAATGAAAACCTTGAATGCTGGCAGCAGAGCGGAGGAAAAGAGGGGGAGGAGGGGAGGGAGAGCCCCCAAATCTATCACAGCACGCATACCTCCAGCCACAAGAGCTCCGGCGAGACAACCAAGAGAGAAGCTGCCTACAATCCAGCCCTACGACAGTAAGCAGATAGCAGCAGAACATACATGCACATAGTGCTAAGCTTTTTGGCACTGCATTATGAAGGAATCCCGTGACAAGCAATCCCGAGTCTCTTGCATATGTACATGTGTTTAGCTTACCAACTATAACTAAGTCAGCCCTTGACAATCAGATGCACTGCATATCGTTTTCCAATATTCAGTATCAAACAATGCACAAGCACAGGTTTACCTGATTCTCCTCACTGACAATCCACTCGGTTGTGTTTGTAGCATTTGACGGCTGGCCGAAATCCTGTCGGAACCCCTCCATGTCCTTCACACCGCCAATAACTCTGCATGCAGTCAGTGAACACAGATACAACTAACATAATATTATTATACTGTTAACAGGTACAGATTGAGTTATACAGGTACATACCGGTAGTACTCAATCTCCACACAGGGGTACATGTACATGGTATGCACCATTTCAGTACACGAAGCACTTAAGCCATTATAGTTTCGACTAGGCCTTTCGTACCATTACATTCAAGTTGAATACAATGGTGATTAACAAGGTAGCAAGCAAGTCCTTATAATCGGCACTTTGGCGGTCAGAGCATTGACCAAGCAGCACTTTTAAAGATAGCGCTAGCGCTAGTGGCGCCAACTACAGTCCGTATCGCCTATAAGGTTGGCGGCTATAGTAATATACCGGATATAGTGATCAATTTCTCAAATTCATTTTCATTTACCATAACTAAGTATACACAGTAATCGCGTATAGTAATAATCGTCTATAGTAATATATCACCTATAGTGATCAAATTCATATTTCAAAAGACCTTTATTACACTATTTTTTGCGTCGGTTATAGTGATTGATGTGAAATCAAGCGATGTCAGAGAAGAACAGGGTGTTACTTCTTCGTGAAGAACTTGTCCAGTGAGTGTTGTTTGGTGAGTTTTGCTTGTACAAGTTGCCAAAATATGCCTCCATCATGAGGAAATGCTGATTTTGTGTGTCAGGAGCTACAGCCAGCTACATGACATTGTACATGTATGTAGTGCGTATGGGCACGGCGCGCTGAGTCGTTTGACACCCCACTTGCATACATTGCATGCAGTATCGGTCATAGTAATATATCGCTTATAGTGATAAAATGCTCAAAATCAAACACCAACGCTATAGGCGATACTGACTGTACATAATTTTGGCGCCATATATAAAAGTAATGGTACGAAAGGCGTAGTTGAAACTACAGTTGTGGCAAGTGAAATCCGACACTTGCCATAGGGGACAGCGCCACAAATGGACATCAATGATGTAATGCACTGCACCTAATTTCTACTATAGAGCCGTATGCATCCCAAATAGATCGAAAGGTCACGGCGTAGATACACGCAGTTCACAAAATATGGTACACATAAAGAGTATTGGTATCCAATCCCCATTCATTTTTGCCACCACCTTTTGAACCTTGACTGTGATGAGTACGAGTTTTGTCATCAGACAGATGTAGAGGATATAACCCGAGTCAGAGGGTTATACCGGCTGAATATAAATCCCGACTGCGATAGCAGGAGGGATTTATATGAGGGTACGGTATAACCCGACTATGAGGGTCATATCCTACTTATGCCAGGTACCCCTACGCATTTCCAGAACAACGAACCTATTTGGAGATCTCCTACTGTCCTACATCATACAGTACATGAACATGTTCTGCTGGTTATCAGTTGTCAATTGAAAGAATGGTCCAGCAAGGTCAGAAGGAGATTCCTCCGTGGATGTTTGGCATCAGATTTCCTTTCAGTTCCAGTGCATATTGTAGCATATTGTCTCGTGAGCGATGCGGAACCGTTGAACTGAATTGCTGGGGTGCTGGAGTTGTCGTTGAATCAAACTACCGTCACTAGTTAGACTACAGTACAGTTTGGACTCTTTGGGAGTAAGTGTTACTATTATCATGATTATGGTACAGTGCTGATTTTCACATGCGGCATCTTTAAGAAATATAATCAGGTTTGCTTACTTGCAAGTAGATGCATTTGCATACACTGTTTTGTATCACTGTGTCACATTTCAATCCATTCTAGCGTTATTCCAATTGGTTTATTTGGATTTGAAGTACACTCTGTATCATAAACTTAGTTACGAAGAAGACAGTCTGTTTATGATCTTCAACTATTTGAAGTACAATGTACATTGCTGACCCATTCGGGATACTTCGTGGTTATTTGACGTTCTTTATCCTCGGTTTCAGTATAATACATGTAGAATACTCGGTAGACGAATTCCAGGTCATTCTTCTTTCCATTGTATACTGTTCCTCGTCAGCAATGCCGTTCTGTGTGGAGTGCACATGTGCATGTGGTGTATGTTGTGTCTGTTGTTGTGAATGGTCCGTGCGCTGGAGTGCTGCCGTCGTACAATGGTCGTACAAGTTCACAAGTGAACTTGTACGGTGGCAGTGCCCTAGCGTACGTACCGTGCGCGCGGGATTTATACTGGCCAATATAACCATGGCTAGACGAGCGCTGATTGGCTGAAAACAGGCCCTCCGCACCGTACCATGGTATAAAAAGTTGTAGGTAACACATGTACTGTACGTATGCAGGGCTGCAGGGGCTGCAGACTGCATGGGGCAGTCCCATTGCCAAGTGTCGGATTTCACTTGCCACAACTGTATATGGCTTCTCTGCTTCGTGTGCTAATTTGCTTTCCTCCAATCAAGAATCTACACACTCTTTAGAAAGACATGAACAGTCAAAAGTTACCCAGTCGAACACTGTGGGTCCAGTTTCTATTCGCTCGACCTGCTCAGAAAATCTCACTTTACTGCAAATGTCCAATTCAGTACACAATCTAGGCCTTGGCGGAAAATGCTAAACATATTGGCCGCCTACAGTTCTGCTGAAAAAAGCATTGAAATTCCTCGACCAATGCAAGGCCGGAAAGACTTGTATAGTTATACCTGGCAATTTTGTGGTCCACTTCCTTATCCATAATAACACCAGCCATGTATGAAACCTACACGCAAAATACTACCAAATTTTGCAGATTTATCTGTCGGCATTACGCGCCAGTGGCTAGTACAGTACACTGCAATCCAACATGGCACACCCAGGCCCAGTGACTTACATCGTGCATCATTCTTCTTCTCTTGTACAGTCTCACACTCACAGTGCAAGAGTGATCCTAACATTTTTTTATGTGACACTCTATAGTATACTAGCAGCACCCCCGGCCAGCGTTGCCTGGCCGAATGTGGCGGCATGCGGGTGAAGCAAGTACATGAACAGCACACGTGCTCAGCACGTGGTGGTGGCCAGACCGCTGAAGTCCTGGTGCACCGTACCGGTGAGGGAGGTTCTTCATCGTTGGAAGGAGAAGAAGGGACGTCTGTTACCATGGTTACGCCTTCGGGAGGCTGGTCAGAGTTGTCCATCACCTGGCCGGCTGGTGGCGGATGAAGCGGCTCAAAAAATTCATAAAATTACGAACAAAAGTGCGATGCGCGCTCTTCACTGCAGATCAGATGCAGAGTGCAGTCAGTGCAGATCTTTTGAATCCTTTTGTTGCAGATGCATGTTTCTATTTGCAGAGAACGGTTCACGTGGTCCGCAGCGCTTGTGCGGCTGCTAGTGCTACCTATATGCCATGATGGCCTGGGCTATAGGTGGCTACATGATTCGCAAGCTTCGCGTGCTCAGTGTGCTTCTGCGCGCGCGGCTGCTACCGCTACTCGTACTGATCGTGTCTGCATGCTACCACCTACACTGTTCGCACGTGGTGGTGGCTACACGATTCGCACGCTTCGCGTGCTCAGTGCTTCTGTGGCTGCTTCCGCTAGCTACACTGTGCTACACTGTTCGCACGCTTCGCGTGCTCAGGGCAGCGCTGCTCCGCAGCGCTTCAGCGTGACACAAAAACACACGTCACAGGTGCCTCTTCTCTATAAGGAGCGTGACACACACACACACACACAGACACACGTCACAGGTGCCTCTCTTTTATAAGTAAAGATACCGGTAATCAATCTTGCCAGAATCATCAAAAATGAATTATAATAATAGATCTGGATAGGCTGAAGATTAAATTATGTCCTGGTTGTAATTTCTGTTTGTATGGTCTGCTTTGGCATGGACAGTCAGTCGGCTTTGGCAAATGTCACAGTCTAACTCTCACCCTATGTCATAGCCAAAGACGAATCCGCCAGTCGTGACGAATGTTGACAGCAGGGTAACGAACGATACGGAGAAGCAGCCACATCTCCACTGGCGTTTGCTGGTTCGCAAACCAGTGGTCTCGGAAGCAGCCACCGCTACGGTGTCCGTTTCCGCTCTGCCATCGCTATCCGAGAGACCCATTGCTGATGCTGTATTCGCTAAGACTACTATTACTAAACTGAATTTCAATTTTTCTTTGCCTGATTCATTCGAAATAGAAGCCTACAAAACACAATGACGTAGCGCAGCATGCAGCCATATATAGTTATAGGTTCATAGAATCATACTGGGATTGATGAAATCAGAGCGTGTGGAGCAGTTATCGGGTAAGACTCATGAATCGCTTCAACAACGTGTGCGTGTGGCTATGGCATTTTGACAAAGCTATTATGTAGAATCTACTACTACTAGTACTAGTACTACTACTAGCAAGCAACGGATAGATACAAACTAACGTTACTTCAAAGTTTTGAGATGCACCTCTAGAGCTCTACTGCTCTCTAGCTCTACTCTAGCCTAGGGCTAGGCTAGCTCTGTGGCGTTCTGTTATGGCATGCATAGGCTAGCATAAGGTAAAGCCAAGGCAAGGGCCAGGAGGGTCCAGCACTCATAGTAGGGAAATGAGTAGTGTCACTGTCAGTGTCATGTCCTATTGTAGTCCAGGTCGACGCGCGTGTCCGAGGCTCCAGTTCGTAGATCTACAATGCAACGGTAGCCTGGGTGTCAGAACCGTAGCCTGATTCAGTTCAGCACATGCATGATCTGATCAGGTATCTTTGGATTGAAGATACCTGTAATACTAATACTATATATAATAATAATAGGCCTACTCCATTATTTTTGGCATTATCCTGTAGGCCCTGCACTACATTTGTAGGCTGTACTCAGTGTAGTCTACAATCATAATACCGGTACACGTAATGCATCCGAGACTGAGACTGTACTGCACCGGCGGTACAAGCTACAGTGCTGGCAACTGAAATCCGACCCCCTGAGCGGTGCGCTCACATCGTAACACTACGAAATAGAGGCCGCTAGAAAGTGAACGCACCACCCAGGGGGTCGGATTTCAGTTGCCAGCACTATAGTAGTATTATAAAAGAAAACAATGAGAAATTGAAAAATAAATCATGCAATGGGCAGGGATCATGGTTGCCTTCCGTCTAATTTACAATCATGTAGATATCTACTGCATAATGAATATACTGTGAACCGCACTGTGATGATGTGCAATGCCCCCCCCCCCCCTCCGCCCCTTCGGTCAAACGCTAGCGCAGTCACGCGCTTTCTCTTTCATAATTTGAAGTACTGAAGCACATCATCAATGAGAAGAAGCCACACTCAAAATACCCGATGATTGTCCCCATAGGGCCGATAAGCAATGGCATCGTGATCGTGCAGGGTCTTGTGATAGAGCAGAAAATTAATTCAGAGAAGATATCTGTAATCTGAGGAGCAGAAGGCCAGCTTTACTGCAGTATTACATGTATTAAACTGATAACGGTAAGTTAGAGACTGTGTACAGTGCCAATACACTGAAGCGGTTTGGGTCATATTGACAGACTGCACAAGTACACGCATACATGTAGATCTACTTAGTAACTGTAATTGTATCAAGTGAAATCCGTATACTTTCAGACTCGGTCACGGACCAATTTCGATGACCTCGTGCATATGTGTTAGGAAGGGTGCGACATCAAGGCCGATCCGGCAACCAGGCTGCTAGTGTATATCCGACTGGATTTCATGTAGATCGAGACTCATGCCGGAGAACCGGCACAGCAGGGGCATAGCAGCCGGTCCGGCCGGTCAGGCTTTGGCCGGACCACTTTTTCGCCCGACCACGGCCAAAAGTGCCCAGAATGCAGGATTTTGCACCCTAATTTCAAAAAATTCCCGGAGAGACCCCCAAAGCCCCTCTGGCCGGACCACCTCCAATGGCAGTGCTACGCGCCTGCACAGCAACTCAAGTAACGTCACGGTTGCAGACTGTAATCTACTGGTGGTTAGTTGTCCGTATACACTGCGGCGGGTTGTGTACACTGCACTGGCACGAGTAGTTAGGCAAGGCTGGTGTATGTAAATGTAGCCTCATCTGTACCAGTGCTATCACCAGCATTGCCATCGTCATGATCATCATCAGCAGCAGTAGTAGCAGCAGCAGTGGGATGACTGGGATCAGTGCGTTCAGTTTCATCATCCGTTATTTCACTGTCAAAACAACACAGTACAGAAGTGATCATGCACAGAAGACAACATCCTTGAAGTTATGCCGCCAAATCCTCAAGCAGCATGTGTGGCAAATTGTGGCAATTGTTACACTTGCACACCTGTAACTCTGCCGAGTGATTTCCCTGATTCTCTGAAAGAAAACATTCTGGGTAATCCGGTAGCATAGGCTAAACGTGAGTTTTGTGGTGCAAACAAATCCAGTGTGGTTGGCATACATGTACTGGTCATCATCACAATCCTATGATCTCCATTGCCTGCAGCACTGGACTTGCATAGCAGCAGGGTTTTAACTTTTTAAAAGCAGTGCTAGAACACTGACACTAAACACGCCGAGTGCATACACTGACCTGTAGCGCCGGTTTCTACGCCGGACGCAATCTACGCAGCAGCCACATCTGCAATACAGTCATCATGACCAGCAAGCAACAGTCAAAATAACAGTAGTCAAGGAACAATACAACAACAAGCTATAGAGGTTGTAGAGATGGCAACGATATACCTAACCTGTCCCACTGATGGTGTGTGTGTGTGTGCGTGTGTGTGTGTGTGCGTGTGTGTGTGTGTGTGTGTGTGTGTATTGAATGCGCAACTTGCCTTATCTATTGTGTTGATTTTTATAGAGGTTGTGCGAATGATTTCACGGAGGTTAGTTAGCAGAACAGCTTATGGATGCTATGTATGCTGCGTGAGTCACTAGTGCAGCGCTGTGCCGCAACTTCACCAAAGCATCTCAACTGATGATGCAATCGCATAACCTCTATATGCCCAGTGTTCAGGATACTATGTATAGCACAACAAGGACACATCACTGTATGCTTGAACCACCAAGCTGTGCTCAGACCAGCATAGTTCTCATTCACATAGCTCTGTACGCACCTCAGGTAGTACTTGTAGTCAGCACTGTCCAGCACGGAGCGCTGCTCAAACAGTTCATCCATCGATTCCAAACTGCGACCCTGCACAGACATAAAGGCATATCAATGTGCAAATACATGTACATTACGGACACAACATAGACAAGTAGATATACATGTATCTCTGTGGTCAAATGGGAGTCAATGGCACACTTTGATGCTGAAATCTGAAACGTACTTTACTGACTCGGGAAGGAAAATACTCATTGTTCACAGCATGAAGAGATTCTTGCTGCGATAATGCTACTATAAGGCATCACAATACAGCAGAATACGACAGCTCAGTCATGGCAGCCCACCTTTGTCTCAGGAACAGTGAGTAGGATGAACACGACTGCGGCAAAGTTACAGGCGGACATCAGAAACAGCGTTCCCTGCACGTCAAGCACCGTAGGCTGAAGCAGGAGCGGTGTGCCGAATGCTATGGCAAAGTTGCCCGCCCAAACAGAAGCAGTTGTTATTGAGACCAACTTTCCTGGATGATAAAGGATACGTGGGCACAAATGTAAACAGGATAGGCTGGACAAGCTGCTGCATGACCAAGGTTTTTAAACTATCTGCGTCAGACGGAGCTGTACAGTGATAGCTCATCAATTCAAATCATGGTCTACCACGAGTATATGTACTCAGTTTATTCAAAACGGTCTACCTCATGACGGCCCTACACCTACTGTTGAAGAACTGGAAGTGTTCTGAATGTAAGGGATACGACAACTTCACAAGAGATTTCACTGTAGTGACAGTATAAAAAAGGTATGTGTGTTGTGATTGTTGTGACTTGTGATTGTTGTCCATTTTAACAAAACTGGTATACAGTGTACACAACAAGTTGTGTTTTCACCCAGGGTTCATTCGTCCAGTTCTTAGAGCGGCACAGGATCATAGGGACATGTTTGATTGGTCCGATCTGGGACAGGATCATTTAATTAAGACTTACCGCGTAGACGTAACGGAAACATTTCACTGGTAATAACCCAAGCAACAGGTCTGTTTTAGAAGAACGGAAAGAAGAACGAAGAGAGCATGATAATACAACACATAAATGCACTGGAGCATAGATGGCGTATCACATATCCATATATCCATCGTGACTCAGAAGAAGATGTGAACTAGCCAGTACTTCACCCGGGCCTCCCTATTACACAGCAAGCAGTGCGTACCCCTCCCTCTCTCTAACTGTCTCATCCCAATCACCACCAGACATGCTACAGTGAGCACACACCAGTATACTAGTATTATACATGTGCTTCGAAGTATCAAGTTATAACTAAGTTGCAGCCTGGATACTCATGACCACTCACCCCCAGGTTAGAGCGAAGAAGAAGATGAAGACACATATGCAGATGACAACAAGACTGCCATCTGACTTTGTGAGTTCATCATTTCCTCCACTGGCCACGATGACGGAAGCTCCCAATGCCGTGCTTACTGCCATTCCAAGACCACCGAGTAACAGCAAGACCTTCCTGCCAACCTACACAATATAACCAGAGCACACGGACTGAGACCGGACGGTTTTACCAGCCACACAGCATGTGTGCTGTGATGAGAACCAACCCCGACATAGGGAGCCATTTCTGGAACACACTCCTCCCCCCCCCCCACCCGGACAGCGCACTCGGCTTGTGTCAATATTAGGGCTTGAACGAGCTAACTTGCTATGAATCACCGCTACGGCAAGGCTGAATTCTGGACCCACTTGGATCCAGTTTTGTTCACTCGTATATATATAATTGAAGCAGTCTCCTTCACAGTAGACTGACAAATGATCCACGGCCACAGGAGTGACTGGAAATGGCCCTGGCTGACGAGCACTGCCAGCATATACTGAACTTATCACACATGAAACATGATATGCAACTCATACTCCCACCACACACTGACAAGCCACCGAAGAGTGGATCCAAAAGCAAAATTACTACTACCCAGTTGTGCTTGATGGCGTCACTTTCAAGAACTATTCTTAATTAAACTCACTGCAATAGTTGTGCTGCACAGTTGAATTTAATAGTCAGCTGTGCAGCACGCCAGTGAACAGAACAGCGCTCTACCCTAACCTTGTCCACGAGAACTAGCGTCCCAAACGTAGTCAGAAAGTTAATGATTCCAACAAGAGTTGTTGAGAGGTAGGGACTGACACCAATAGTGGAGAAGATACCCGTAGAATAGTACCTAACAGATACAAGTAAGCAAACAAAGAAAGTAATTGAATCAGTAGCCGAGTTGAATGGGACTCACACACGTTACCAGTAGTTGGTAAAGGGATACTACTTCGAAGTAGTAACTCACAGGCCATCGGTGATTCGTAATGGAATGGAAGCTACATTGGGCCGTGGTTGCTGTGGCAACAGCAGTACAGAGGAGGTAGCACCACACTGTGCAGGCCAACACTACATGAAGAAGACTGTGCAACGCGTTCAAAAGCGTATCCTTAGCCTGTTGGACGATTCCAGCACTCACTTACATGATGATGTTCATTCCAGCACTCACTTACATGATGATGTTCATTCCAGCACTCACTTACATGATGATGTTCATTCCAGCACTCACTTACATGATGATGTTCATTCCAGCACTCACTTACATGATGATGTTCATTCCAGCACTCACTTACATGATGATGTTCATTCCAGCACTCACTTACATGATGATGTTCATTCCAGTAAACTGCTGGAAAAGTTGCACCCACATGCCAATGATTAAACTAAGCAGCAAAAACAAAAATCAAAAAGCACCAAAGACACAAGCGAGCCGATGCATGAATGGTCTACCTGCTCTTGGCCGGGCATTAGTATAGACAAAACTCCAACACACAGCTCCCATGGTACTCCAGCATGTGCCGGCACACACTATCATACACACAGCTATAGGCAGCACCCATTGGTAGACCACACACCATGGTCTTTGCACAGCTTCTCTACGTTCTCCACAAAGAATAACCTCTCGAGTATTGAACGGGATATCCTAGCACAAAACATACCGTTTCAAAGAACTCCACTCAAAGATGTCCGCCCATGTTCCTCCCCTGAGACGTGCACCGTCCCGGATTTCGGTCGCAATTGAGTCGACCTCTTCCAGGACAACTTTGCTGACTTCAGCTTCAGAGGTAATGTGACGCTTGCGACCAGTTCTGATCCAGTTCATCACATTCACAGCCCTTGCTCGTTGATTGATCTTCATCAAGTATCTGCCAGCAGAGAGACCCCACCCACATACACACCACATGCATGCAGATCAGTAGGATTCAGCAAAGAAAGCCTTGGTAAGCCCATCAGAACTATAACAACGTCGTACATTATCTGTTAGAGCCCGCCGCATCATATCTAACTGTCCAAGATGCCGCAGACCGCCACTCTGCACCGCTACCCCAACACACACACTCTCATCTGGAATTGGTATGCTAATTGAATATCAAATCAACGACAAACTGGAGTCCTAGAGAGCAAAGAAACAAGAGAAGAAAGAAACTTACCTTGGTGTCTCTGGTGCATACATCATTCCCAACAGAAGGACAATGGAGAAAACTGATTGCAGTGCCAGTGATATCCTCCACCCGTGAACATATGCTGTACAGGCCAAGTTGATCAAGAAGCTAACCTGAGAAACAAAGCAATGACAAGAACATAGTTGTAATCATAGCACCCAACTGAAATAATCATTTTTTGGTGAAGCATGTGCGAATCGTAGCACAAGCCAGAGCTACATCTATATTCTGTAAACCCTAAGGGCCTTGTGCTAGGCCCTAGGCCATCACCTTGCTTTACGCTCTATCCCATCACTTTGTTCTCAGTTGAAGTCATCAATTCGGCATGTGTTCTAAGCTATCACCTTGGCAAGGTTTACAGTAGAAACTAATCTAAAACAGCTAAAATATTTTCAAAAGAAGCAACTGCCTTGGTGCGGACTGACTGGCCATCTTGCACAGGTATACTTGCGGCAAACCTACCATAATCCCGGCAGTGATGCTCAGCTGGTTAAGTGATACCAGTCGCCCTCGGTGCTCAGCTGGTGACATCTCCGCATTGTACACTGGCACAATCATGCTCAGTATTCTGCAGAACACAGGATAACAATCCTGGAATGAAACAAGTCATGCAGGTGGCGACACTATCAATTGTCTATCATTACTGTGTTCACAAGCTAATCCGGCAGTTCCGTGTAACACAACTTACCCCACACCAAAGCCAGCCACGACACGTCCTAGATACACCATCCTGAACACGAACACACAGAGATTGCACACTGGTATCACATGCTCTTGCCTGAATTACACATAGTAAGTAAAGAGACGGTTTGAAAGTATATTCGTGGATAATTTTCAAAATGTTGCTGCAGAAGAACCTCCAACTAAGCAGGCACGTAGCCCGCATGGGGCACGGGGGCACGTGCACCCCCCCCCCCCCCCCCCTAAAACTTTCGACATAGGTTCAGCATGCACATAATGACCATGAATGACATGAACCAGCCATCCAACATACTAGTACATGTACATGTGGTCGTGCCCCCCCCCCTAAAAGTGGGAGCAGCTAAGCCCCTGCAAAGTTTGATGGTACTGCATAGCCTGAGCTCAGTTCGAGAAGATGGCTTATTGAGCACTGGTGGAGCACTGTGGCAGCAGCGGCAATTACAGCGATGGCGGCGGTGGTCGTCCTTGTTACATTAGTAGCCTTGGTATTGTGAGAAGGCATTTATAGGTACGGGATATGAGGCACACGCTAGTATAACTTGTGATGGTCAAATAGATTTGAAAGACATGAGCAACCAGACAGTACCATAGGTAGTAGGATAGAGCTTGTATCAAACCTCCGATGGTGAAGATAACAGCCCCGACTAGAATGGTGAAGCGGCGTCCTCGTTTCTCTGACACAACTGTACACCAAGAAGATGCAGCCATCCACGCGCCAACATGTAAGACATGCTACACATCATGACCCGTCCTCTGTTCACACAGTGTTCTATAGCACATTGGGCTAAGCAGTTCCTTACACCGAGCCTCAGCCAATACCACACTGGGCTGAGTAGTTCCTTGCACACAACCTCAGTCTACTGAGTCAGCCGGTGAACTAGACAGATGTATTAGCTGGGTGTGTATGATATTCCATCTAAGTATAAACTGGATGCGGGAGTGTCCAGTGGTAATGGTCTGGTACCCCTGCAACTACCGGTATCATAATAACCTGAGCCTTTAACCAGATCCAATACAGAGCATCCCAAACTTCCCTCAGCTCAGTCTCTTACCTCCAGCAATAAGTGCACCAACCAAGCATCCCAGGGAGAAGCTGCCCACAATCCAACCCTACCGTGACATACAACCAGAAAGGATCAAGCAATATAATATATATCAGAATAGGCTCCGCGGAGACAATATACTCAAGTGATATCATGAGGCCGCGGATATGCTCAAAATGTATTTACAGTTTCCCCACAAAAATATGGTTTATCCTCTAAAAAAAACAGGCTGTTGAATGTCACCAGCACTTTCGGAAATAAGTTTTATGTGCTACACGTGCTACAGTTTACCTGGTCAGTCTGATCGCTGACTGTCCACTCGCCGTGGTGTTTTTACCAGTGACATTGTCATGACTGTAGGAACACTCACCGAAATACCTCCGAAACTCCTCCATGTCTTTCACACCACCAATCACACTGGAAACAAAGGGGTACGAATGACACGAAATGATTTATTCAATTGTCATGCACTTAGAGTTGGTGCAGATGTGTCGCACAGAATCACTTGGAGTTTGCGACGTGTAGGCATTGGCGGATAATGCTCGAAAAGGTGGCAGATTCTGCTCAAAAAGCAGTAAAATTGGCAGAACCATACAAACCTTATGGCGGGCAATTCCTCGAATTCTGCTCCATTTCTTTATCCACATACCAAACATGCATGAAACTTACCAGAAAAAGTACCGAATTCTGCCAATTTTTCTGCCGGCATTATCCGCATATGCCTAGCGACGTGAGACTTGATTGAACCCAGTAACATAATTATAATAGGCACTCGTGGGCCTGTGTCTCTATGCTCCTCATCTCACTCCCATATCAAGTAGGCCCTCGGGCAAAGCCTTAGGCCACAAACAGCACAGCTTCTTCATGAGGGAAACCTCAAAACAAAAATGTTGTGGTGTACTTGTGCACCTATATGTACTTGTTCAATGACCATCCGTCTCGATTGGCAACACAATTATTTGATTCAGGAGTGGGCTAGGAGACTCTATCAGGGTTGGCATACATCTTCCACAATCTCTGCAGTGATCTCACCCTATGTCATATCCGAAGACAAATCCTCCGGTCGTGGCAAACGTTGACAACAATGTGACGAACGATACTGAGAAGCAACCACATCGCCATAGGCGTTGGTGAGTTGGTGCATCATCGCTAATAATTGTAGTATCGGTCACCAAATCAGCCTCTGCGGTATCCATTGATTCGACTTTCTGATATTCGTCGGTCAGAGGAAGGCTAATCTAACCGTTGGCACTGCACTACTTGTAGTTGATCTCTTCTACTACTAGTATAACCATCAACGTTACAATTCATTCTGCATCTACAGTCAAGTAAGGATCCGATGATTGTCCCGGTCATTTAGTGGTCCGAAATAGCGAACTTTCAGAATCACAACTAGTCACAATAAAAATTCGACTGTTGGAGTAACAACAATACGTGTCAGTGACTGACACTGTGCACTGTGACAGTCTGACATGTGTTCCCTCACGCGAGCGACTGGCTGCATGCAAGGAGATGCCTTTGATTCAATGCATCATTTTTTGATTGACACCTCAGAAAGCTGCAACAGGTGGTGATTTGACCTGATCTGAGGCTGATCTTCACTAAAAAAACAAAACTAATTACTAGTACTTTGTAGTGGATAGGAGGTTGTGTTTAGCCACCATATTGATCAGGTAGATCTACATACCGGTATATTCAGTAGATCCTGTCACTGATACCTGATTGAAAATTACAATCATCTTGTGCAAGACTCTTTTTGCCCGTCATCTTTTCCATCATTTTTTGGACAACCAAAGGTACATTCACCTGAACGTTCGTTTTTGCTTTCCCTGGGTCATCTATCATTGTGGCCAACTCCTTATTCCCCACACTGTTACAGTACACTAGTCAGGCGTGTGAGGTCGGCTGATAAAAAAACAAACAAAAGGCCAATGCAATGGTATTACTTCATTGCTCCTCCATTCTGGATCATTTCCAATGTCATAATGGAAAACTCAAAACACAACAGAAGAAACAGAAAGCACTCATAGAGACACAAGGTGGGAACCTCTATTACTCAGTTATAAATAATCATAGAAAACAGGGAGCAGTAAACTGCTCCTTGATTGAAAGTGCTTCATGTTAAAGTATAAGTAAAACGCAGAGAGTTCAACAATTTTAAACGCAGAAGACCAGCTTCACTGCAAAGCCGCTGTATCTAAAAGCATCAGTTACGAACAATTATCAGGTAACTTCTTTTTGCAAACAACAGCCAAATAGAGGCAAACACACGTACACCTGTCATAATCTATCAAGACCATCTCACTAGAAAAGTACTTGTAGAAAGCAATGACAGCTAACGCTCTGGTAGCTAATGCAAATACTAGCATCCCAGCCAGCATCACGCCAAACTAAAACAATGAGACAAAACATTTGATCTACTTAAAACCTGACGAAACAGACAACAGAGTACGACAACCACAGCATATTTACTCAACACATCATGTCCAGGGCAGGGGACCGGGCTCTTTGGCCAACCGAAAGCTCAAGCAGGAATGCAGGTCTGTGGCTCAACACAGCCGGGTTGAACGGACTCAGGTTGAATGGATTCGACATGCTGCACGCTGCTTCATCACTTGCCACACGCCACCAGTCATTCGCATTCACAGCTAGCTAGTTGGTAAGTCAGCTGACCATGACGTCATTGTAACAGAGTGTTAAACACACCCATCACAGCTCGCCGCACGTCTAGCTATCTCCGTACAACGACGTCAGCCTAGCCAAAGTATGTGTAGTAACACATACACACACACACACACTCAGGCAGGCGTATACTGTATACTGAATAGGTAATCTACCCATCGTTGTTGTATGTGAATGTTGCCTCACTTGCAGCAGCACCACCCACGGCCTGCACGTCGTCATCATCAACATCACCGGACAGAGTACTGCAATTGCAACAGGAAATCAAAATACACAAACAGTGAACAGAACGTCGAAAAACTGTTTCCCAGAGTGACCAGCCCTGTTACATTGACATGCACGTAGCTCTCTAGTCTCCTCACGAATTGTTTGAACAGAAGAGTGCATGCACAAACCTGTATCGACTTCTGTGACGAACGCAATCCACACAGCAACCACACCTGTAGCACAGGATACAATCAAACAGGACAGCACAGCACACTGAGCACAGCACATGACTGTACAGCACAGCACAGGACTGTAATCAGCACAATTGAGAAGCCTGCTGCATTGGCTGTCAGCACAGCTTGCTGCACAGACTGCAATCCTGCAGTGGACAGTCTGGACTCCTATTAAATTTCTTCATCTTTCATTGAGAGTCTAGCCATATAGATAGACGAGAAGGCAGAATTGCCTGTGTATCCGGCAAAGTAAAAACAAACAAACAAACACATACAATCATACATGTACGTACATCCATTCCAGGACATTCACACAGAACAGCACACAAATATGTTCCGTGCACACTTGATGACTACCACAACAGAAAATGTCAGAGAGCTAGTAAGTCGCTGAAAATCTACAACTGGAATAATGCATAATTGTATTAAGAAATTATCATTGATTTCATCAGTTTATACGAGTTTGCTGGAATGCATTCAGAAACATAATACGCCTGTATATGAGGCATACAGAATGGCCGAATTTAGCAAACAGTGACACCAAGAATGACATTGCCAATTCAATGCGCCGATTTTCCAGATAGAGTCCTTCCTGGGTTCCCATAGTCTTCAAGATTAGTCACAGTACCCAAGGGAAGAGCGGTTGTTAACTTCATGAGGTCATGTTCATTATGCCAAGTGCACTTCAAAAAGGAAATACACAGTTGCACAGGAAAGCAGAGCATAGTTGCAGCACTTCTTACCCAGACACTGCAAGCTCACACTTTACGTGCAGGAAAACCAAGAGGCGGTTATCAGGATCCAGACAGCCACGGGAACATTGAGAACATTACGACGACGGTAGCGGCAGCCAAGATGGCAACCGCTACGGTGCGCCGTGCATTAGGCGAGTTACAAGGCATAATCAGACCAGAATAGTTCTCATTCATATAGCTCTGTATGCACCTCAGGTAGTACTTGTAGTCGGCACTGTCCAGCACGGAGCGCTGCTCAAACAGTTCATCCATCGATTCTAAACTGCGACCCTACACAGAAAAACACATAAAGTACCGGCTCATATCAGCCATCGATCGCTCCCATAAACACAGAAATACAGCCCACTTGTTTCAGACATCATCACCCAGATTGTTTTGACTAGCATCAACAGGCACTGTAGATATACTACTGCTGAAGCAGCACAGCAGAGGATGATAGCTATTTCTCGATGATAGGCTAACTGATCAATGACTACAGTAGCTTTTACTTATCAAGGAAATGAATATGGATTCAACCCTCTTTTCTTCTCTCGCTACATTGTACTCGCATACGTGGAGCTAAATACACTTGATTGGTAGTATAAATCACACAAGCACTAACAAGGAGTAGGGTTCCCTGTAAGAAGGCGATGACGCCTGTTGGGAATTCCCTAGTAAAATAAGAATAAAAATAAATAAATAAATAGAAAGGAGAGACAACTAACCTTGGTCTCAGGAACAGCAAGCAGGATGAACACAAGCGCAGCAACGTTACAGGCAGACATTAGAAACAGCGTTCCCTGGACGTCCAGTACTGATGGCTTGAGCAGGAGTGGGGTGCCAAACGCTATCGCAAAGTTGCCCGCCCAGTTGGAAGCAGTGGTGATGGACACGAGCTTCCCTGACATCAAGAAAACACACACAGAATAATCTTAGTGACACTGTGTGAGGGAGCTGTGTCGGAGCTGTGCCGGAACTATCTACATAATGGTCTACATAATGGTTACCACAACTTACCAGTACTTGCACTAGGTTCAGTTCAGTGTTAAGGCCATGGTAAAAAATAAAGTTGATTCTCAGGTCATGAGCCTGTGAAAATCGGTGCGAGCGAGCGATTTTTTATTTTATTTTCCACAATTTTTTTTCCAAAGATAGGGTCACACATATGTACATGGTCACATGATAAAATATATTCAGGCCAGGGAGTAGAAAAATACCGGTATTTTACTACTCCCTGATTCATGCCTTTCGCATTGACCGTTTTCATGCGCGCATATGCATGCATAGAATTAAAAAAATTCGTCGGTGCGCTGCCAAAAATCGGTGCGCGCATACTTGAGAATCAAAGATAATTTTTACCATGGCCTAATAGAAGACGAGCATGACTCACCTCTTAGGCGCAGAGGGAAGATTTCACTGGTGACAACCCATGCAACCGGCCTGTAGACAGCAATGAGTACAAGATAGAACACAGCAATGAGTACAAGATAGAACACAGCAATGAGTACAAGATAGAACACAGCAATAAGTACAAGATAGAACACAGTGAAGAGTAGAAGATAAAAGGTACTATCAAAAGAGTCAATAAGCCAGAGCATACAACTCAGGGAGAAAGAGCCAACGGCGAAGTTTTCTTGCCTTCGTCATAGTGGTTCACTTTAGTTAAACTTCACACCGGATTACTTGGCTATCGGAATCGTACTTTCTGCTGTGTATTACAGCTGTGTGGTGCTGGTATGCCATAGCTGGTAAGCCTCTTATACCTATTGTGTATTCCCCTTTCAGAAAGGATAGGGTTGAAATAAATGACCAAAGGGACAACTGCCAGAACTGAGACACTTCTATCGTAGTTGATTTACTAAATATAGAGATTCAATGTGTGTGTGTGTGTGTGTGTGTGTGTGTGTGTGTGTGTGTGTGTGTGTGTGTGTGTGTGTGTGTGTGTGTGTGTGTGTGTGTGTGTGTGTGTGTGTGTGTGCAATGGGCAAGATCAAGGTCAAGGTGTGTGTGTGTGTGTGTGTGTGTGTGTGTGTGTGTGTGTGTGTGTGTGTGTGTGTGTATGTGCGCCTGCGTGCGTGTGTGCGCCTGCACCTCGGTGCGTGTGTGAATACCCTCTCGGGGCAAAAGGAGCTGAATGGCACTCACCCCCAAGTCAGGGCAAAGGAAAAGACAAACACACAGACGCAGATGACAACAAGACTTCCGTCCGACGTTGTAAGGTTATCATTCCCTCCACTAGCGGTGATGACGGTAGCTCCCAATGCCGTACTTATCGCCATGCCAAGACCACCGAGCAACAGCAAGACCTTCCTACCAACCTACATAACACAGCCAAGCAAAATAGAAGAACATCAACATCAATGGGTGCCACAACCGTAGGGACAAAGGTAAGATACTAGTCAGGTCTGCAGAGCACTAACAGAGCACTAACAGAGCACTAATGTACATGCAGAGCACACGCACAGTTGTCAAGTAATCCCCACAGCTCTGTAAAAACACTGTATTAAAGCAGGTTTTGAAGGAAATTCTCAACCAAAATCCACATGTCAAAACGCCCTAGCAGAGCACTAATGCACATAGATTTACGCAACATATGACACGCACAGTTTCAAGCATAATCTACAGCTCTGTACCAAATACTGTGATTATGTTTTGAAGGACCAAACCAACCAAAACCAAAGGCTCATAGAACATGACAGACACTATCATGAAGCTCATTACATAGTCACTAGTCCACAGAACTACCTAACCTTGTCCACGAGAACTAGCGTCCCAAACGTCGTCAGAAAGTTAATGATTCCAACAAGAGCTGTTGAGAGGTATGGACTGACACCAATAGTGGAGAAGATTCCCGTAGAATAGTACCTGTCAGCCAGACAACACACATTCTACAATGTGAGAAAGAAGTCACAGGACTGGCTGGTGTTCACACATAAGCACGTACATGTTGAGGCGACGGTTTCAAATAGGACATAGGTTGCAAACCGGAACGGTCTCTCAATATTCACTTTCTCTCTTGGTATTTTGATTAGAAAACGTATGTCACAGTGAGACTACGATGTGTTTCACTCAGCGCCAAAATTCCATCCCTCTGCGATGACCAGAAGCGCCATACCAAGCATTCGAGTTTTTGACGTGTTGCTTCCCACTGCGACTTGAGTTTTACGACTTTCGAAAAATCAACTTCTTGTCGCAGGTAAACAGCGGCTTGCCTCTCGCCAATAAAGCACCGCATACCAATCAAAACTAATGGAAGCACACACAAGGCTTATTGTTACTCTGTGCTGGTCGTCGTGGAGCGATAGCAATTATCTAATCTCAGACCCAGAGTGAATTTGACGTGCACTCTAAAACATGTCCGGTTTGGAGCCACCTCTGATTTGAAGCGAAAAATTGGGCAACTTGGAGGCAATGGGTCAACACAAAGGAGTCGCTCGGTTCGATTGACTCTGGCCTCAGAGCAAACTTCAACATGCCAGTTTCCTTCCACAAACATATTTATTATTTCGAGTGAACAATCAACGCTGATGATCGGTTTGGGTCTATACAAATTTGGCTGTCAAGCCGTTCCGGTATCGAGCCGTCGCCTCTACTGCAGAGATAAATTAGCAGTTAAAATTACTACAAATACTTGTAAATTAATCAGCCGGACGGAAAGACTAACACTAGATAGCTGTACCAGTGGAACATGTCTGTAACAATACAGTGTTCCGGAAGATATTACTTCGAAGTAGTTAATAGTTACACACAGCCTCCGCATATCATTCTACACAAGGCAACAACTAATTATTGAATTAATCAACTTACATAATGATGTTCATTCCGGTAAACTGTTGGAATAGCTGCACCCACATACCAATTAGTAACCTAAGAAATCAGTACACGTAACACAGACAGCAATACACAAAAACTTCCAGCCAACAGCAGGAAGCTGGAAATGCAAGCGCACAAAAGCAACCAAAAAGCGAAGTTGCCATTGTGATCGCATAGTTACACACACCTTCAAAGTGGGCTGAGCCCCGTACAATCTCGCCACGTGCCACATGACTGACTCATGAGGGTAATTTAAATAAAGGTAGAATTATGTAGAAAGGAAAAGGACATAAGGATACGAGTTAAGAGTAACTCTCCATCACTGTAACTGGATACTATATACAGTCAGAAAGTGCAATAACTAGGCACACAACTGACAATCCATTCCTTTCTACATTTATTTATGGCCCAACATCCGAGTTTTAGAATTATGTAGTCGGAGTTAGACGTCAAATCCATAGGACCAGCTTTTTTTCTTTGGAATGCTTCAAGCTCAGATATTGGAAGATATAAACTTATAAAGCACTCCTATTAAAGCACAAACCTACCGTTTGAACGAGGTCCATTCAAAGACTTCTGCCCAGGTTCCATTTCCTTGCACCGCACCCTCCTGAATCTCGTTAGCAATGGAGTCGACCTCTTCCAGAACAGCTTTGCTGACTTCAGTTTCAGAGGTGATGTGACGCTTGTGACCAGTTCTAATCCAGCTCATCACGTTCACAGCCCTGGCGCGCTTGTTGGTCTTCATCAAGTATCTGCACAAAAGTAAGCCATAAAGAAAACACACATGTGCGTACACACACACACACACACACACACACACACACACACACACACACACACACACAATGCACACACAGTCACACACACACACACACACACACACACACACACACACACACACACACACACACACACACACACACACACACACACACCTTTGACCTTGACCTTTGACGCCCATCGCCGGAGGCGATGATAGCAATGCTACGGCAGAAGCCATAGCAACTTGTGCTGGGATTGCACCATTCAACACACACACACACACACACACACACACACACACACATACACACACAATGCACACACGTACAGGAAAAGAAAAGGAATACACTACAGTTGGTCAGTGTCCGGAACCTGCACCACATGGCAACAATACCCACACAAACACACTATGGCTGTGTGACAACTTGTCGACTAATATTGGACACACAGTCCAGCAGCCAAAGCTCAATGTGGCTGCGCATATCGTCCATCAAACAGAGAGAAAGGTTGGAAAGTCCAAAGTAAAAACTCGGATGTTGAGACAATGGTAATATGTAAAGAGAAACAGACCTATACGTTACTAGTTATGACTAACAGTCCACCAAGGTAACAAGATAATATACAGTCAGTTAAGTGCGACAAGGAACAGAACTGACAAGGATATTGAGACGTTCGACGACCTGACACCTAGCTCCAACACATCTACGAAGCGCAAACCAACAACCTTCCAACTTGGAAGGCTCAGGTGCGGAAAGTTCCACTGAGGGGAAGTTAGCCATAACTATTAACTTATAGGTCCGTTTCTCTTTACATAAAATCCGAAGTAAGGGGGGATTCAGGTGGGCCTCTTAACATTTCGGAAGTTGATTGAACTCCATCAATGTAGTGTGTGACGAGCGTATCCGGACGAGAAATGAAGAAACAAATCAGGCTTTACTTGTGTACACACTGCCACATACCTGGGAGTCTCGGGAGCATAGAGCATTCCTACAAACAGCAGTATGGAGAAGAGTGCCTGCAGTGCCAAGGATATTCTCCAGCCATGAACATATGTTTCACATGCCAAGTTGATCAAGAAGCTGACCTGAACAGCAGGAGCAAGAGCAAGCACACGGTCAACATGAAACAAAGGAGAATGCTCATGAATAAAAGGTGGGATTAGATATGAATGAATAGCTTTCACTCGCTCCTCCAGTGGGGAATTCTTCAAATGCTATGAGGTCATGCATAATGCTCTTTCCCTCTATCACCAACACCACCCCGTACGTACCATGATTCCGGCAGTGATGCTTAGCTGGTTGAGAGATACCAGTCGCCCTCGGTGCTCAGCTGGTGACACCTCAGCATTGTACACTGGCACAATCATGCTCAGTATTCTGCAAGACACATACGCACATGCACACACACACACACACACACACACACAAAAAACACACACACAGACACACTTTTGACTTAGGCTAAGGCCTGTGGAGAATCCATAAATACAAATACACATACCCAAGCACACACCAGCACACACCAGCACACACAAGCACACACAAGCACACGTACGCAAATACACACAAGCGCACACACGCACGCATACCCACACAAAGAGGAAACAAATATTCAAAACCAGGATGGTTCTCTCCCGGGCTGCGATCATAGTGACTACTTCTCTCACTTTGTGCATCAAGCACCAAACATCCAATTTTAGGGTGGCGGGTAAAGACCCTACTTCCCAGGCTTTCCCTGGTCTTCAACACAGGTGTACAATATCATCAGTAACACTGGACACCGCGCCAACTTCTTGCAACTTACCCTACACCAAAACCAGCCACAACACGTCCTAGATATACCATCCTGTGCAGATAGAGAACGCAAGCAGAACACACAGTCAGGTGAAGACACTTCGCTCCAGCAACAAGAAGCAGTCCATCACCACAGAAATAACACCAAATTTGCTTGGGTGACTGTTGCCTAAACGAATGGCATGCACTCACAGCAGAGTTGAACATGACCAAACAGTGGAGTCATACCAATTTTGTTACAACTCTTTTGAGTTGGAGTTGGCAATTGGAAATCTTTCTCGACTAACACTGCTATAAAATGACGGCATGCAGCAATACTATTTCCAAATATGGACATTACCATATATAGTAGGACAGTGCTTGAACTAGACCACCCACAGTAAAGATGACACTGCCAAGTAGGACAGTGATGCGACGTCCACGCCTTTCTGCTACAACTACAGACAGATGAATGCACACGCATGCACGCATACACACACACACATACATGCACACACACACACACATACACACATGAGCGCGCGCACACAAAGCCGCGGTTGCTCAACAATGATAAATAGGAGCATGTGCATACAAATTCAGCTGCCCATCAGAAGTCACGCCAACAACTCCGCAAAGCGCAAAATCACCAAAGTGGCATGCAACCTTAGAAATGGGCCAATGTGAATGTCGTGCACTGTGGACCTAACAAGTCTCTAGAAACAAGCTGCAATATCTGGCCAGGATCAAAGTCCGGCACATCCAGAAGTCCAGAGTGCTAACGTTATCATGCGAAAGGAAATCAGGATGCATGACAGCATCAAACTGTACCCAGTAGCAATCTACAGTGGAGTTTGGGTATAACGACACTCACTCAGGAAAAAGACCGCTGTATTTCAATCTGCCACTTAACCAGATCCTCGGAAAGGACATACAGCAATACGTTGGAGACAGATTAGTCATAACGCTCAATCAACCGTTATATTATGCAACATCAAATACTAGATACAATTTCCACTGTTTCAGTTAATATTGCAATAAATAGAACTAACTCTGTTGTCTCAACATCGTTATTTAAAAACTCCCATTGTAACTTATTGAGTAAGTTCAAAAGTCACACTAGGGCCTTACCTCCTGCAATAAGAGCACCGACCAAGCAGCCCAGAGAGAAGCTGCCTACAATCCAACCCTGGACGTGCACGAAGAAGAAAATCAGCACAAACAGTAGCACGTGAGTGCTCGGTCACGCCAAGACCATAAATTGGCATAATGTGACACTTGGTACGAAAAGCAACAATGTGAATTCCTGTATCCATAGCTACTAGTATTCTACTTGAACAAATGTCTGCACCACTGGGCTTCTGAATAGTATAAGCACACATTGTTCACAAAAAGCAGACTTCCTACAACAGGGCACAAAAGTGAGTCGCTCACTTTGAGTTGCTCGTCTGGATAAAAACAAAATGGCTAATTATGGCTGGCAAACGCTTGAAAATTTATGAACCAGCACGAACTTGCGAGGAACTGTTTTAGTGATTAGCGTTCCAGGTCATAAAAGAATGCATGCATACCATATGCTATGCAGAACAATTGGCGAATCTAACCAAACTTCAAGCAAAAGCACCCCTTTAGCTGAATTCCTTAAAATTCACCACCACCAACATCAGCCACTTTACAGTACTGGACAGCATTTGAGAAGCTTGTGTCCGTTAGCAATAAATCACACTAGGGCTACAACATTGCTTTAATAAACAGCTCACCTGGTTCACATCGCTGACTTTCCACTCGGTGGTGTTTTTACCAGTGATATTGTCACGAGTGTAGGAAGGCTCGCCAAAATACCTCCGAAACTCCTCCATGTCTTTCACACCACCAATCACACTGGAAGCACACACACACCCACACACACACACACACGCGCGCGCGCGCGCGGGTACACCCACACGTGCACACACGCACGCATAAAAGTCAATATCAACTTTTGAAAGGCTTAAGACCAGGGAGTCGTCAAATACTGGTATTTGACGACTCCCTGCCTAAAACAGTTCAGGAAGCAGCGGAACCTGTAACTTCTGCTTGGAGGTTCGCCATGGCAAGCTCAAACCGTAGCTGTTGCACCCATGCTATACCAAATCCAGGGTCGGCTAGGTGAAAGCCACGCAAAACTACAGTAGCTAATGCTCAATATGTCAATATGTTTTTTCGTGCTTTTTTTTGGCAGGAGCTGAGCCCAATAACATAAAGGCGAATTGAGAAGGAAAGAAGCAAAAGCCAATTCTGGACTTCACGCCAGTCCGTTTGCAACCTAAGCAGTCCCAAGGAAGACCGACCACCGATCACCACGTAATCCTTTATCGGACAAAGAAGAAGAATTTACTACTTGGTGTCGTGTACTGGCGACGTGAAGGTCTTTGCTCGAGTATTTCTCAACACTTGCCCTTGGGTGATGATGCATATGCAAATCCACACACTGTAGAAATGTGTAACATTTGCGACGCGTACATTTTTGCTATTGATGAAAGGTGAGCCAAGTAATTTGAACTTCGCAAACTTCAAGTTGTAGTATACAGGTAAATCCAAGCACCATTCAAAGTTTAATTTGAATCATATACGATGTACTTGTACCAGCAAAAAATTGGTGTCAATTTCGGAAACTGAAGCATTTCTTGTCGCAAAAATTGCTGCTTTGCAGTACAGTAGATATTGGTTATAACGTGCCCTTCTGATTTTTCACATTTTATCACTATAACCGGTATATCACTACAGGCGATTTTCACTGGACTGCGCGAGTCATACATACACATTATACACGTGTGGGTACTCGATCGCGCTAATGTAGCGTACTGATACGTGATGGATGCTACTGCACCTTCCCCAGTCTAGAGTGAAGAACTTCTTTGCCCAAAGGCATCATCCAGGAAGCACCAGACCAGAATACCCTATGACAACACACATGTGGCTCCAAGTCTAGACATCAATGCCTCACACTCGTGTGTTGCTATCACTATAGACGATACTTTTTCTGCACAAAGAGGTGTTTTGAATGGTGATTCTGAATCCTTATAGCCGATTTATCGCTATATACGATAAGGCCACACCAAGTTTTTTCATTGTTTCTCGTCACCGCGCGCGTACCTTTCTTGAGGATTGGACCAAAAAAAAAAATCTCGCGTCCCGGTAAACACGCATAAAAAGGCGTTGTAAAAGTACGCGCGGCGTCAAATCTGGAGTGCAGTGCTAGTGCACGAACCGAAGGACGACTTTTGCACCGTGTATGTACGCATACCGGTAGTTCAAGTACCACACCACCACACGACCTGGTCGTCTTCTTTGCTACACACGCACCTGCTGCTACACCTGCTGATGTTGCCCGGCAGTATCAGTCCATTCACATGCCTTGCGCTGCCTGTGCCGCTCTGGGGAAGAAGCCCCGCACCCGTGGCCCCAGCTGTGCTGCAGCCACAGCACCATCCAGCAAGAAGAGGAAGCACCAGTGAACTGGACTTCTTTCTGCTTTGGGACTTGGTCTCCCTATTGTGTCATGCCATACTATGACAGATGCAGCTGTACATTGCTAGACTCGCCGCAGCATGTACTGCGCAGTTCATACGTTGTGACTGTTCGCTCCATTGTCATTGGAGCCTGCTGTATTCATTGTCTGGACTTGTCATGTCATGCCATGCCTTATCCCATAAGGTTTCTGTTTTAAATTTTAGCACAAGCGCGCACTTGGCTGTTCTTTTATGTACCCCTTGTATAATAACTTTGGTTTGCTTTCTTTCCTATTTAAATAACATGCAACACTGGACTTCCTCACCAGAGGCCGGTGCAGGAGCCTGGTTTTCTGGCTGTATGTTGCAATTGACTGTCACGCGTGGTGTATAGTCTGATTTTAGGTCATAAATTGGGCCTTTGTAGTGTAAATAGCAGTTTTTGTTTTTCAAACCCTATTTTGTTTTTTTCCACCCGCCCGCGTTCCTTTTGAGATTTTCAGGTGACGAGAAACAATGAAATAACTTGGTGTGGCCTAATGGTTATAATGATAATTTGACTGGCTTTTTCTGGTTTTGCTTTTGATATTTTCATTTTGTATCAATATGTATATATTATAACAAGGAACCGAGTGTATATAGAGATATATACACCAGTATGAAAACCGAGGCGAAGCCGAGGTTTTTATAACTGGTGTATATATCTCGATATACACGAGGTTCCTTTGTTATAATATATTTATACCTCTCCATATTCACCGTGTGTGACCTACCGGTAATGGCTTGTTCCTCGCTGACAACTACTGCTAATTCCCCTTAGCGGTGTATATGGAGATATATACACCACTAAGGGAGAGCATGCATAAGACTGTAAGTGTATATGGAGTGAGGTACAAAGCGGGTTTATCACTATGTCCGATGACTTTATAACCGATATCCACTGTACATGTATTTATACTATTTTAACTAGGCAAGTAATTTGTCAATACAATAGTGCTGTCCGGGGAACAGCGGCTATGCCACCCTATTCGCTACATATAACTGAAACATGCAAGAGACCCACTGGGCCGATTTGATGTTGTGGCTCCACTGCTAATTTTTTTCTCCTTTCAATAGTTGCACTATTGCCATGATCTGTCAAAAAATACTCACCCAATGTCGTAGCCAAACAAGAATCCACCCATTGCCGCAAATACAGAGAGCAGCGTTACGAAAGAGAATGAGACTCGACCACATTTCCATAGGCGATTGCTACTGCTTGAGTCCGAGAATGCCACTGCTGTAGCCGCCTCCATCTCGCCTGCCATTTCGTGATCATGGGACGACATAATGCAGCAATGGGTAAGTCACAACTGACAAGCCTACTGAGGTTCTTGCGCGATCTTCGCTTCAGGACGGTTGAATGTAACTATTTCTTGCTTGTGTCACTGATTGTTTTAGCTGAATTTCGGGTGTGCCCTCAAGGCTTCAGGCATTGGGAGTAGGGATACCTGCACATTCTCTTCCTCGACAAGGGAAACCCATCAGCTAAGTCAAGACCACACCAGTGACTCACAGTCACAGATACAGGACTCAAAATTTGGGAAACAAAACACAGTCGAGGTCTCTCGATACGTCAGGCGAAATAGCACGTCATAGTACATTTGAGATCAGCGGGAAGAAGATGACGACGTCCACTAATTTAGTATCTCTGCACACGAATCTGCTGTGTGTGTGACTCTGTGTGTCAGCTATGATATCATCTTCTGTGGTTCCATATGGCCATGCCTAGCATGTACGTCTGAACCATCCTGCAAAGTTTGAATGACGTAGGTTGAGCGATCGCTCCGCGAAACATACTTTTTGAAATTCTCTTCATAGTATATCTTCCACCATTGAAATTTCGAATTTCTTCCAAACAAGTGCTGAGAGTGGTGGCTTGCAAACTCGATATGGCTTGTTCCAGGCATGCTTTGGAGCCATCTTCTGTTGAAGTAGTGGCGGGGATCTGCCCTGCAACTGCTACAACAAAAAATGATTCGATCTGAGAAAGGGTGAGACCGCGAATCTCGGTTGAATATTGAGTATTTCAAGCCTTTTCACAACGAAGATGGAGTTCTTTTTGGAAATGGACGTCGCGGCAAAGGACATGGTGTCCGACTTCTGGCGTCTGGTGAGGCCAGGGATCATTTGTCCAGTCAGGTCGGCAGCCTAACCGTCGGTAAGCTTGTGTTTGGATCCCGTTCTGGTCGATGTGGTAGATCACAAACAATTTGATATCGCACAAATTCATGCATACAGTATTTTATATTCAGAAAATCCCAAAGTGTCTCTGTGTGGCCGTCCTATGCCACGAGAAACTCCAATCAGGCTCCTATGTCCTCTGCCTTCATGATTGAATGTTCACTTCGTTTGAACAACGAACACAACAATCGAGGACGGCTTCGCAATGAAAAATACAGCTATACTGGCGCTGAAAAAAAGAAGAAAAAAACGTGCTCAGGATGAGACTCGAGTACACGCATACTCTCCCAGCAGCTGAAACGCAATTTTTTTGTGAAAAATGCGTGTCGCCGACTGACCAGTAATTTCGCCTGACGTCTCGAGGGAGCCCGGAAAACCAAGGCTTCAAGACTTCAAAAACTGAAAAAGACTCAAAAGTCGCATGACGTCGGCAGTGATGCATGCATGCACTACTCACGATCAGGGAGTCGTAAAATACCGGTATTTTACGACTCCCTGCTCACGATCACGCTCACATACACCGGTGGTGCCGACCCGGGTCGGGAGCAAAAACCGTATTTTACAGCTTCCAGGCCCTGGCCTTGTAGATCTACCATGATTCTACAGCCGAGGCCAAAGAAATCCGACCCACGTACTTCGACCAAGAGCTCCACATAAGACCCTGAGGTTTCATGTTGTTTCAAATCTTTATTCTCACGATAGCCAGTGGCCAATAAGAGATAATAGTGTAAGAAAGGAGAAAGAGTGAGGAAGAATTGGGTGGGCAGGGCCTAGGGGTTAATGACTACTTAAATGTACGGGCAGGGGTGGTCGCCACACGAGCATACAGAGTTGCGTACTTAAGTGTACGGGCAGGGGTGGTCGCTACACGAGCATACAGAGTTGTGCAACAGCAGGGATATCTCGGATTTGAAGGGAGGACGAGAAGGGATTTCGCGAAGCTGGGTGGGCAGGCAATTAAAGTAATGAAGGGCCTTGTACAGGGGAGAATGGAGACAGCGGTCAGTCCGCGGAGTTGGCAAGTGCCAAGTACGAGAGTGACGTAAATTATACGAAGTGTTGCGGCCCTGTGGCCATGGTAGACAAGATTTCCTTCGAACCATTACTTGTTCTTTACAAAGTGGAATAAAACTGAATCTCAAAGAGTTCCGAAAAAGCAAAGCGTGACACGCATACATGTAGCCTCAAGCAGAAAAGCTGGCCGCGCAAAAGGAAACATGCAGCCAAAAAGATGCCTAGCTCTGGCGTACATCGTAGAGGTCACTGCACATCCGGTGCACTGCGCCCCAAAGGTGCAGGCACGGTGCCCCAAGGAGTGACGACATACATAAACTGCATCGCGTCATGCAGATAGAGCGATAGCGTACAAAGTACAAACAAAACAAAAATAACTGAGAGAAGCGAAAATAAATAAATTGAAGAGAAGAAGCGAGAGAGAGAAGAGTGAAGGAATTTAATTCTAATTATTTAGAGCTGGACAGATATCGTCAAGGAGACATGCAGATACACAATAGAATCGACTCGACTGCATGTAGAGTAGCTGCCTCTAACTGCAGCAGAGTGGAGCACGCAGGTACGTGATCAACTCAGGAATAGTGAAAGGTGAGAGAGACAAAATACAAATAAATTCGAACGAGCAAATACAATAATTGTGAATTCATGTGCAAGGGTCTGTAACATTCTCCCCCCTGGTAACAGGGAACCGATGACCTGTTACAAGTCACAAACAAAGTTAGCGCAGCACGTCCAGCTTGGCAAGCTTAACGACTGGGCGCCGGTACAGTCCAGACTTGGTGCGCACATCTGCCACCCGCACAACGCCATCACTGCCCGGGTGTACAGCCTCTAGTCGGCCCCGAGGCCACTGCCCTCGTGGCTGGTTGCTGTCAACGACCACCACGACATCACCTACAGCCAGTGACGGTGTGCCGTCCTGCCACTTCCTCCGCCTGGTGAGTTCTGGCCGGTATTCCAAGATCCACCTCTGCCAGAATTCGTCGGTGATCTTCTGTGCAATCCGCCAGTGCTTCCTCAGGCTCAAATCAGCATCTACAAACACGCCTGGCCGACTAGTTGCACTACTGGACCCAATGAGGAAGTGGTTGGGTGTGAGGGACTCTTCATCATCAGGATCTACTGAGACGTGAGTCAGCGGCCGACTATTCACGAGTTGCTCGGCTTCAGCGAAGACTGTGGCTAGTACTTCTTCTGTCACGACACGCTCCTTCATGACGGATTTCATAGCGATCTTCACTGCTCTGACGAGGCGCTCCCAGCTTCCACCCATGTGGGGAGCAAGTGGCGGGTTGAAGTGCCATGAGATGCCCTTACTGGAACACTCAGCGGCTAGTCGGTCTTGGCGGAAATCTTCCAATGCCGCCTTCAGCTCCCTGTCAGCTCCTCGGAAATTGGTTCCATTATCCGAGTGGATTTCTTGGGGGCAACCTCGCCGGGCGCACATTCGCCTGATTGCCATGATGGCACTATCAGTGTTCAGAGAGTGAGCCACTTCCAAATGTACAGCGCGGGTACTCAGACATGTGAACAACGCACCGTAGCGTAGTTCGCGGCGCCTCCCGATCTTGATGTGCAACGGCCCGAAATAGTCCAGCCCAGTGAACGTGAATGGTCGCAGGAACGGGGTCAAGCGCTGGACAGGTAGATTTCCCATTACAGGTGGCTTGGGATTGGCTCGTTGGTTCTTGCAGTATTGACACTCAGACCATGCTCGCTTCACCGCTGCTCGACCTGTCGTCACCCAGTACTGCTGGCGAAGCTCATTCAATGTCCTCTCGTGTCCATGATGGCCAGAACGCAGATGGTATTCATGGACTAGGAGCTGTGTGTACCTATGCTTCGGACACAGGATAGCCGGATGTTTCGCACTGTACGCCATTTCCGTCGCATGTGTGAGGCGACCCTGAACCCGCAGGATCCCGTCCTCATCAATGGCTGGTGCTGACAGGCTGGCCATCGCTCAACAAAGCCACTTCTTCGGCAAAACACTCTGCCTGCACAGATTGTATCCAGAGCTGCTCGGCCGCATCCATTTCCTTGGCTGAGATGGCTGCGGTTGATTCGACAGTTTGGCCGCGAACTCTGGCCCGTGTGTTTGCGATGAACCTGGCAACATACGCGGTTGTGCAGATGAGACGTTTCCATGACGAGAATCGGCTGACGTCAGGCAGCGCTTCGGCAATTTGCTGGGGCCTTGGCGGGGATGTTGTTGCCGCAACGAACTCCTTCTTCACTTCGGTCGTGTCGATGCACTCATCTGACGTTGGCTGCGAGATGTGGTAGATCGCCTCCGGTTCGAGTTGATCTTGGTGAGTCCGAGCTCCAATGCGACCGTGCACGACCCAACCAAGAAGGGTTCTCGTCAGCATAGGTGCATTTGGCGGGCCTTCGACGACTTCACGTGCCACTGTGAGGTGTCCGTTGTCTTGCCCAATGAGCATCCTCGGTTGTACTGCTGGGTACGACGCCACTCTGGAGTCATCTAAATGAGGCCATCGACTCGCCAGCCCTCTGCCATCTATTGACTGCGAATGCAACTTGAGGTCCTTGGCTGTTCTCACATCATCCATTTGATGCTGGGTGCCATCGCTGCCATTGACCAATACAGAGACTCTGCATGACGAGTTGTCCGTGTGCGTCGTCGAATTCGTCCATGCCATATGCAGGGGATCCGACTGTCCAACAGCACCTATGTCATCCGCTAAGGCCTTGTCCATTAGCGTGACAGTTGAGGCTTCGTCCAGCAGAGCAAGTGTCTCCACACAGCCCTTTGGGCCACTAACCGTCACTGGCAACACTCTCAGCAACACTCGGGTTGTACCAGGAATACCAGTGTGCCCACAAGTGTCGACTGGCTTCTCTGCGGCCTTGCCCTTGTGCAGGAGCACGTGATGGTGGTACTTGCAGTCAGGCTCACTGCACTGCTTCCTGCTGCCACACTCCCTGGTAGCGTGTCCACTGGCCAGGCAAGAAAAGCAAAGACGATGACGTTTTACCAGCTCAAAACGGGCTTTCTGGCCAAGCTTCGTGAATGTTGAACACTTACTGAGGGCATGCTGCACTTGTTTGCAGCAAAGGCAGGCTGACTGAGTTTTACTGGTTGCACTTGCTGGTGCCGTCGCTGCTGCTGTGCTGTGTACTGTCGAAACTTCCTGGTGACTGTACACCCGCTGCGTCTTGTCGGTTCGGGTACCCGGCAGATCCACGACGCGCACAGCTGCTTCAGCCTTGTCCGCCAGCCACAAAGAAAACACTCGCAAGCTGATGTCATGGCTACCCTGACGCACAAGTACTTCTCCCCACTGCAGTCGCAGGGATGTTGGCAACCTACCAACAAGCTCTTGACGTAGCTGAGGGTTATACATGT